CATCACGGCCACGGCGGGAGGGGCGGCGCCGCGCGCACATCACTTCCTCGGCGCCTCCCGCCGGCGCGGACGGACGGTGGACGGTGGACGGTGGACGGTGGACGGTGGACAGTGGGCGCTCAGGGCGGCGCGAGCAAGGGTGCACGTCTCCGGCTCTCGGCGACCCCGGCCCCATGGCGGGCCCGGCCCCGCCCGCCGCCGACGAGCTGCCCGGCCCGGCCCGGCGCCTCTACTCCAGGTGGGTTGGGCGGACCGGCGGGTACCGGCGGGGACGGGTTGGGACCAGCGGGGATGGACGGAGACCTGGTCCAGGCAGCCGTTGCTGCGGGCAGGCAGGAGGCGGGAGGCGCCTGGCTCGGAACAAAGGCGGCGGCGGCCGCGCAACGTGGCGGGGACGCGCCCGCCCTGCGGGGCTGGCGGGGGTTCGGGCTGGGGGCGGAGATAGGTGGGCGCCTGGGACGCGGGGTCCGGGGATGCAGGGGCGGGGTTGCCCGGATTGAGGACGCGCCCGGGAGTGCGAAGAGGTGATGGGGGTGCGGGTGCCGCGGAAGGCTCCCGGCCCCCCCAAGAAGGGGGGTGTCGAGGGTGAGGGCGCTGGAGGGTGGTGGGGAGTAGCCGGGTGGGGAGGCCACTGGGGCTTACCACTGTCCTCCCCGTGAGAGCCTGGGGACTCCCAGGATGGGCCACTGGAATGGGCTGCTGCCAACCATACCACCCCCAGTGCCCGGGGGGCAGGAGGTGGAGACTGACAGCTTCTCCAGCCTTGCTCTCCTGGCAGCTGGGCTGCCTGGCACAGCAGGTATGTGGAGGGGGCTGCCAGGAGCTTCCCTCCCAAGCCTGGCACCACCTCCCCACTGCCATGGCCCGGTACTCAGAGGGCAGGACAGTTGAAGAGACCAGGTTGTGTCACAGGTGGGGCCCTGCCCCCGACGGGCCCCTGTGTGCCTGGGGTCCAGCAGACTGCTGGCCACAGGGTTGGGGCTGGAGAGCCAGCCAGCCAGGTGGGTGTGTGCCTGCCTGAAAAGGCACCTGCCTCTGCGCAGATTCATGGGTGATGCCAACCATCTGGGCTCTGTGCCCCATGCCTGTCAGGGGTGACAGGGTGGCCCTGCCCAGGGCTGCGTGCCTGCTTGGTGACTCCAGGCCTGTGGAGGGTGTTCCACAAGGTGCTGCCCTGGGCCCAGCCCAGGCGGGCACAAGGCCCTCGGAGGAGGCCTGGGCCCAGCCAACGCCTGCGGGTGTCCAGCAGAGTGGAGCAGGCATGAGTGCTGGGCAGGGGCCACTTACTGGCAGCAGCTCCCAGAGGCAGGCCTGGCTCCCGGAATGGGCTGACAGGCCCCTGACTTGGAGGACTGTCATCATCCCGGCGCCCCCTGGCCGTCCCTAAGACCTGGGGCCTCCCGGCTGCTGAGTCTTCAAGGGGAGTAGCCTGGCCCTCGAGGATTTCCCCACCCCCACGGGGCCGTCCATCGGCAGCAAACCTCTGCCAGGTGCTCCCCGATGTGCAGAATGGGGCCCGGGTGGCGGGTTGAAGGAGGCCGTGCTGCCCCTCCCACCCCAGTCTGGTCTGTGCTGCTGGCCAGAGACACAGCCCCCATTGTGTGGTCTCGGGGATCAAGCGCTGAGCCCTCAGCCTGGCTCCTGGGCCCCATGCAGGGGGAGGGGTATGCGGGTGGGTTTGCTGGCAGCTAGCCCTGGAGGCCTGCCCTCGGATCCCCTCCACGGCCCCGTGGGGATGGAGAGCCATACAGGGCGGCATCTGCCCCAGGATCGTCGGTTGGATGCAGAGGGGGTGCTTTGTCCCAAAGAACGATAGGAGTTGATCTGGCAGCAACTGGCTCTGTGTGTGTGTTTGTGGGTGGAGGGGAGCTGTGGGTGGAAGAGGGTCCAGGCTTTAGCTCTGGGAGACCCTGCACAGCCGAGCACGGGGTCCACATCGTGCTAGTCACTCCACGGGCTTGACCTGGGAGCCTTGGGTGTGGGCTGATGTCGGAGCCCAGCGGGGACACACCAGATAGGATCCTGGCCTGGGGGAACCAAGGCTCAGAGAGGATGCTGGGAGAGGCCACGCATCCAGCCTGGCATCCTTGCAAGCTGAGACCCCTAATGAGCTCGAAGGGGCGAGCAAAGCACAGATTTGGATGCGTGGCTGTAGGGTCTGGGAGGAGGCCTGTGGGGAGTTTGGACCTGACCATGTAGCCCTGGCCAGGTGTGGGCAGGGCAGTTCCTGGTCAGAGCTGGCTCTCAGAGGCTGGCAGGAAGGGGTGGGAGTCAGGGAGACGTGCCGGGGGCTTTCTGGACAGGTGTGGGCTGTGGGGCTTGAGAGGAGGGACTGCTTGCGCAGATCCAGCAGCCTCAGGCCAGGCGCTCAGGGCTGGGAGGAAGACGGCAAAAGGTCGCCTGCCCCCCTGAAGGCTGCGTGGCCACCGGCGGCCTGGCAGCCGGCATGTGGACGCCAGGTCGACCGGATCCCGTTGATCTGGCTGTTTAGAGGGAACCTCCGTGTGTGGGGGGGCTCCCTGGGACCAAGCCAGGTCTCCTCTGCCCTCCCCCCATCCAGAGGCTCCCCTTCCCACACCAACATTCCTGCTGGAGAGACAAGTTCAGCTCTTATACAACGGGGTCCTGGGGGACTGGGCTGGGAGCACACACTGAGCAGGGCCTGAGCGTGAGTGTGCCTGTAAGCCCACCAAGTCCCCAGATGGGGCCCTAGGTGGGGACAGTCAGGGATGCAGAAGCAGGTGGAGTGGTTAGCGCTCAGAACCCTGGTCCACTGTGCCTGGGCCTGCTTGCCCAGAGCAGAGGTTTGGGAGGGAGGGGCTCATGGGCCCCAGGGGGGATGGGCAGGTGGCCGAGAAGCCATGGGTGGTCCTCTCCCGGCCCTGTGGCCCCCTTCAGGCCAGCAGCTGAGTGCTCCTGCCTGGGACTGGGAAGGTGAGTGTCGGGTACGTTAGAGGTGCGCCCCAAGTAGCAGGCACCCGGACAGAGGCAACCCAAGTGTGGGTGTGCCCCCACCCCGCATGGCCATGTCATCTGCCCATCTCTAGTCGGTTCCCTCCCCAGGTCCCTGCCTGGATACTAGTCCTGGCAGGGCCTTGGGAATAATGGCCTGGCCCCAGGGCTTCGTGGATGCACAACCCTCAGGCCCTTTCCCAGGCTGGTGACACTCCCAGAGGCTCCTCCTCTCCAGGGATTCCGGCTCCTGCCCTGCTGCCGCCCCGTGCTGCCCCTCGATCCCCCCTACTGAAGGGGAGTCAGTGTGGCTTCGCTTTGAGGGTGGCAGGGCAGGGGCTGAGCAGGGGCCCTGGAGCGTCTGCCCGGGGCCCAGAGGGAGGACGGTGAAGATGGTGTTCAGCAGAGAATGGGGCTGAGGGTGACACAGCCCCCAGTGAGCCGTGTGTGGTGGGAGCTGGGGGCCTGGCTTGGAGACTAACCTCGGTGGTCATCACCAGAGGACGCCATGGAGTCTGGTGGGGCTGATAGCTGGGGGCAGGAGCCTGACGGGGGCGCCAGTGGGGGCAGGGGTGAGAGAGCGGGACACGCTGGTTGAAGTGGGGCTTATGGCTTCTCCCTAGATGCTGACTCGGGCGCCAAGGCTGGAGGGGTGTGGGCATGACGTGGCGGCCAGAGCTGCAAGGCTGGCCACTGGGGAGTCGATAACCTCTTCATTAACCGGTGAGCCAGCGGGCGGGCAGCGGGAGCTTGGCAGACAGCACCCTGCCTCCTGGCCACTGTGGTCTGGCCGCTGGGAAAGCCGGCCCTGGTCAGCCCCTTGCAAGGAGAGATGAGCTGGGCAGTCATGGTGTTAGAGAGTGGACCGGCACAGGTGGACGTGGCCCTGGCTGGGGCTGGGCAAGCTGGTCCCTGAGGCGGTGGCCTGGCTCTGTCCTCAAGAGGAAGGACTATAAATTAAAGATTAAGCGTCTGTTAAACCCAGGTGGCAAATCCCAGGTGGGAAGGCTGCCCCCTCCCAGGGTCTGGGTGGTGAGGCTGGTGGGGGAGAGACAAGACCACAGCCCCAGGGGCCTGAGAGCCCTAGCCAGCCTGGCCCCGAGCCCCAGGGAGCCCCAGTCTCGTGCCCTGAGAGTGGGGCTCTTGGTGGCCCTCGGTGTGGACAAGCCTTCTGCAGGCCCCAGGCGGTCCTGCGGGGCGTGTGTGTGGGCAGTGGGCAGGAAGGCTGGCTCAGCAGACTGATGCTGGAGTGGGTGGCCAGGGTGGCTACGGCCCCAGTGCACCCCTGTGGTACACGGGCGCCTTGCTAGGTGACAGGGCAAATACCCACAGGCCTGGAGAGGTGGTGTGGGGGGACAGAGGTTCCAGAATCTTCTTCACTGAGCAAGTAAGTGGGCCCACCAGGCTGGGCAGGGTTTCACAGAGAATACGAGAGGGTGGCCTGCAGTTCAGGTGTGCAAAAGTGGGCCCCAGGGTTGATGTGAGGGTGCAGAGTTTGGGGGTCAGCTTGTTGACAGGAGGTGGGTGAGGAAGAGGACGTCCAGGCCCTGCCCTACTCCCCTCTGCTGAGCTCTCCTGGGTGTGGACACGTGGCACCAGACAGAGGCCTCAGGGCAGGGAGGAGAGCAGCGTGGCCTGAACACCCTTGGGAGGCTATACCCAGTCCTCCCACCTCTGCATCTGCCCACCCAGCCCCTACCAGAGCCAGCAGTGCCTGCAGGGCCTCGTGGGCTGAGGCCGGCCTTGGGGTCCTGCATCCTGGGCAGCCCTTGCCCACACCCTCCAGTTTATCCTTGACTCCTGCCTCTGCTCAGACCCTACAATGGTCTTGGGGAGCAGGGCCCACCCTGGCTCTCTAGTTCCCTCTCACCCCAGAGCTACACCCCCGTCTCCGTCCCAGGGTCCCCACTGTGCAGCCTGGCAAGAGGGCCTGCCCACGAATGGGCAGAAAGAGCCTCTGTGAGGGGCTCCTGGGGTCCTGGGGCTCCTGGGGTGGGGCAGCACCTCGGGGTGGGCTGGTGGGAGAGGCCACAGACTCCCCCCGCTGCTCTGCCCTGTTGGGCCTGGACCAGGGGCCCAGGCTGCTCTGAGCCCCTGGGGCCCCTTCTCTGTGGCTGGACATTGGCCTGACCCCCACCACTCCAGAGGGCTCCTTCCTTAGCCGGAGGAGGGTCGCACCACCCGGCCTGCTCACTGGCCATGGGTGGCTGCAGGAGCTGGGAGCTGCCCTGAGAAGGTGGCCAGGGGCCTGCGAAGTTTCAGGAAAGGAGCTGTGGGGTGGTATCTGTTCCTCCCAAACCCCCACCCCCGCCACACCCCAGACCTCTTGTGGCCCCAACCCCGGGTTAGACCTGGGACCTGGCGCTCACTCTAACACTCAGGTTCAAGTAAGCCCCCCAGCCCCCCAGAGGGTCGAGAGGACTAACAGGATGATCCCGGCTCCGTGCTGTGTATCTGCTGACCTTGCTGTGTGCCAGGCACCATGTGTCCGTGCCAGGCCAGGCTGCCGTGTCCTGGGAGGACACAGTCTGGCTGGCAGTGGGGGTGGGGCAGACCAGAAACGTAGCCTCCAGGAGGTCAGGGGCAGGGCCGAGGGCAGACCTTGCTGTGCCTGCTCCCAGTGGGGTGGCGGCCGTCACACTCGGAGCCCTGTCCTTCCTTTATCCATTCATAGATGTTGACCTGGCACCTACTAGTGCCCAGCACTGCTGGTAGGGACTGGGCTCTGGCCCAGAACTGGCCACAGGCTCAGAGGAGGGTAAAGGTTTGCTCAGGAGCGGGGTGGCGCGCCGGAGGGAGGGCACGGCCTCTGCACCCTTACATGTGCCAGCCCCCAAAGGGATCATGTGGATGAGGCTTCCCTCTGGGCTCCCCTGCCCGCCTCCCACTGTCTACCCAGCCCTGCCCTCCTGCTGACAGGCCTGATCCCCGGCTCTGAGCTGCCCTTGATCCCTTGATCCTCCTCAGGCCCTGGGAGGCCCCAGACGACCTGCCCAAGGGCCTGGGCTGTCCTGGAGCTGAGACTGCCAGAGCTTCCAGCCCACCACTCTGGGGAGGGGAGAGGCAGGGGACCGCTGGGGCCAGGGCGCCTCCCTGGACCAACAGCCAAGGTGAGGCGAGGGCCAGCCAGGAGGGAAGCCCGGAGCTCCGCGATGCTGGCCTCCACCACAGAGGGCCAGCCTGTGGCCCTGAGCTTGGCAGAGAAGGCTGTGTGCAAAGTGGTGTATGGCGCCCCGCGCCCCCGCCCACTGCTGCTGCCCGTGGGTCTGGAGCTGTGGCTGTACGTGCAGAAGATGCGCAACCTGCAGAGGAGGAGGTGCGGCACGTGCCTGGGAGGGCACCTGGGTGGACGGAGGGGCATGACCGGGCAGGGGATGGGCGCTAGGCTGGAGGTCAAGGTGCAGCTGGAGGATCTTGGGATCGGGGGAGCTTCTGGTTCTGGTGCCTCTCCAGGTGGCCTGCCCACATGGGCAGGGCCCGTCTTAGATCCCCTCAATCCTTGGTTCAGTATGACTGTACCAGAGGCCCCGGCGTGTATCAGTGTGTCCCCCGCCCCCTTTGACTTCTGACCTCAGGCCTTTCCCAAGCCAGAAGCCTCCTTTGCTCTGAGCCACTGATGCCTTGACTGTGTGTGGGGAGAAAAGGTGGGGGGAGGCCACCCCCGTAATCAGATCTGCCAGAGCCAGCAGGGTGTGCTTGGCTCCGAAAACACCCACATTTCACACCCCAAGTCCCCTCTCCTCCAAAGTTTCCTGGGAGGAGAGGGTTTTCTGTGTCCGACGGCTTGGTGAACGGCTGGTCAGGGACACGCAGGTCTTAATTAGGAGCCTGTGCATGGCACTGGCTGTGGGAGTAGGGCTGCCCGTGGGCTCCTGTGACGTGGTGTGGGATGGTGCTTTCCAGAGCGCTTGGGGAGGCCACTGCCAAGGAGCGGGCACCTTGTGAGCGGGCAAGAGGCTCTGGCGTGCGGGGGCAGGCGGGAGGCCCAAGGGTCTGGCATCCTGGTCTCAAGGCTGCATCCCTGAACCCCTGGCTCCCTGAGAGGCCACAAGGGCTCTGCTCGGATCTGGGGAGTCAGGGAGGTGGCGGGGTACCGAAGCCCAGGCCCTGCGTCCTCCAGGGAAGGGAGGAGCCCACTCTCCCCCGGAGGAGTGACCCTGAGGCTGGGGAGCTGTGGCTGGGCGAGGGGGACGGTGAAGGGGGGGGTCTCCCCGGCAGAAAGCTCTGTGCCTACTCCTCGGCGGGGTGCAGCAGGCCCACCCCAGCTGGCGCGCGTGCGTGGCCCATCTTCCATGTAAGGCGGGGATGGAGCGAACGAAGGGGGCTTCGTGGTTTGTGTCAAAGCGGCGCGTGGTAAGAGCGCGTGAGAAGGGCTGCCCTGGACGACTTTGTGTGTTTTTAAGGAAACATGTTGGTTTCTCCCCAGTAACTGCTGATCGCTGCACGATTCCAGCACAGAGAAGGGGCCGGGGCCTTGGGGTACAGCGTGGCCATTTTGGTGGGGACTGTTTGTCTCTCTGTAGGTTTTCCATGACCTCTGATAATGTCGGAAAGCAGTGGAAATGAGACAAGCACGGTCAGGGCGGGCCTGCGACTGCGCAGAACACGTCCCTACCTTCCAGGTGGCACTTATGTGTACGAGGTCACCAGCCTGGCTGCCGCCTCCACGGGGGGCCTCTCCCTAGGCGCCCTGCTGCCTGCCTCACCCCTCCCGCCTCGGGGCACCCTCCAGCTTGTGGCCCTCTCGCAGCCCCCATGGCATGTTTGGGGTGTCCCCTGCTGACCGCCCTCCTGCCCCGTGGCCACCAGCCAGGCCTCGAGCCTGGGACCCATGTGACCAGCCGCAGAGGACGAAGGAGGCCGAGGCTCTGAGGGGCGATGCATCCTGCCCAGAGCCCCACGGCAGGGAGGGCCAGGGCCAGGGCTGGCCTGACGGAGTGACCCTCGCACCACTGGCTCCCCAGACAGCTGTATCCTGAGGGCACCTCGCCCAAGGCCCAGGGGCTGCGGAGGGCTCAGTGAGCAGGGCCGCAGGGTGGCATCTGGGGGGCCCGGACTCCACGTCAGGGGGCTGTGCAGGGCCCAAGGGTGAGGGACTTCTTCTCTGAAGCCTCTGCCCAAGGGTGGGGATGAGGGGTTGGCACAGCCTGCATTGAGGGCGTTGGCGGTCACACAGGGCCCTGGGCCCTCAGAGCTGGCCGGATTCACAGGGCAGGAGCTGGATCAGTTTTCCAGAGGTTGGGTTCATCCTGGGACGTGGTCCTGTCCGCTTCCTCCCACAGCAGCGCCGTGGGGAGACAGCGTGGTGGGAACAGCTGCTTCTCAGGCCGTTCCTGGCCCGCAGCCACTGGAGCACTTCTCAGCTCTTGGGGGGTGGGGGCCCAGCAGGGAGGGGCCTAGATGCAACCCCGCCCCTCAGAGGGCAGGAGGCAAGGACAGATGATGGCTGAGCCCCCAGCCCCCACTGAGAGCTTGGAGGGTGGGGGCCCCCTTGTAGGATGCGGAATGGGGGCGGGGCTGGGATCAGATCCTGTCTGTGCAGCCTTGACTGGCTCGCCAACCCTCTCTTAGCCTTGGTCGTCCTCGGTGGGGATGAGGGCTGGCCCCAGGCCGCCGTGGCCGCTCTGGAGGATGATGTTTGGCACATGGCCCCCTGGCTGGGCTACTGGGACCTGAAGGGAAGTGGCATTTGGAGCTCAACCGCTGTGCACGGAGGGTCTTGCTGTTGTCACAGACTCATGCCTTCTTCCCGGTGCCCCGAGCCCTGGCGGTGAGGAGGGCATGCAGCAAGGGTCAGGCATAGGCCCGGGCCACAGCCGTGTGAGGGGCCCTGTGGTCTGGAATGATGATGTGGAGGGGCACTGGTCCCCCAGGCTTGGCTGTGTGAGGGGCAGCCTGTGACCCCTCCTGTCTGTGCCCAGGATGGAGGCCTCGTGCCTGGAGCTGGCCCTGGAGGGTGAACGTCTCTGCAAGGCCGGGGACTTCAAGGCAGGCGTGGCCTTCTTCGAGGCCGCCGTGCAGGTGGGCACCGAGGACCTGAAGACTCTGAGCGCCATCTACAGCCAGCTAGGCAACGCCTACTTCTACCTGAAGGAGTACGCCCGGGCACTGGACTACCACCGGCACGACCTGCTGCTGGCCCGGTGAGCCGAGGGGCGCAGGCGTGCACGCCAGGGCGCAGGCGTGGCTGTGCCTCCCGTGCTGGTCAGGCATCTGGGTGCCCTGCCCTCAGGAGTGGCAGTCACATGCGATCACAGTGGCGGGGCTCTCAGGGTCCAAGGGAACCCAGAGGGGGCACCCCTAACCTGGGGGAGGCCGGGGGCTCTGGAGATGCCCCCAGGAGGCTTTGTTTGAGCTGAGACACGTGTGAGCATGTCTGTATGTTTCCACGGGTGTGAGTGTGGCATAGCCCGGTATTCTCTGTCTGTTTCTCTTCCGGTCCACCTCCGTGCGTGTGCCTGTCTCTGGGACTGTGTGTGTCTGGGGGGGTGACCACCTCTTTCCTGCCCCCGTGTTCCTCACTGTCTCTGTTCTCCTCCGGCCTCAAGGCCTTGGTCCATGCTGTTCTCACCCCGGGACACCCTTCCCTTGCTATTCCTGCCTTCCTCTGCCCCGCCCCCGCTCCTCAGGACTGCATCAGCCCAGACCTCCCAGGTGGAGGTGGGGCTCCTGGCAGCTCCACACCAACCCCGCCCACAGGCCCTCCCCCCCCACCCCCCAGCAGCCAGAGAGCCCACATCGGGTCCTCAACACCGGCCAGTGTGTGGTGCCAGCGGGCACATGGCAAATATTCACCAAATGAGCGGTCGTAAAGTTAATTCTCACTGCATGGCCCCCCAAATCTCCCTGTCTCCATCCGGGGTCCTCCCCAAGCCCCAGCAACTGCAGGCTGCACTGAGGCCTCTCCCAGACCCGGCCCAGCAGGAGTCGCCCGCCAACCATGGACCCCTGCCCAGCATTAGCCTGGTGGCCTCGGGCTCCTAGTCAGCCCGGGGCTGGTCCTCCAAGGCCCTCACCTGCCCTCGCCCGGGCTCCCTGCTTGGCTCAGGGTCTCGGCCAGTCCTCAGCCCGGCCCCTCACTCCTGCCTGCTCTCTAGGACCATCGGTGACCGCATGGGGGAGGCCAAGGCCAGCGGGAACCTGGGCAACACGCTCAAGGTCCTGGGCCGCTTTGACGAGGCTGTCGTCTGCTGCCAGCGGCACCTGGACATCGCCCAGGAGCAGGGGGACAAGGTGGGTCCTCGGTCCCTGGCTGCCTGCCTCTCCTGCCCCTGACCTGTGGCCCCTGTCCAGGTCTGCGATTGGGGCCAGCAGGTGATGCCCCACTCACAGCCCCACGCTGCCCCCCACGAGAGGAAGATGGGAGGATAGTCCCCATCCAAAATGTGGGGCCTCTGGCTCCCTAAGCTGGAATCCCCAGCCCCCCATCTTCTGCCCCTCTCACTGACCTCCCCTGAATCTGCCAACACCCCCAGTCACTCCTTCCGGGCCCAGAGGGGGACAGAGGGCACGGCTTTGGGAGGAAGCCTCACTGGAGAGGCAGATGTCAATGAAATGGCAGCAGCAGACAGGGCAGCAGGGGCTCTGGCCGTGTGCTGACGTGTGACCTTCCTGCTTATCTCCATAATCCTGGAGTTGAGCGTCCCTGTAACCGATACAGACGAGGAAACTGAGGCTGGAGAGGTGACGTGACTTGTCCCAGGTCACGGCCAGAGGTGGCCAAGCTAAGCCAGGAGCCCCTACCCCTGGGCGTCAGAGAGGGGCCTGGCCACTCCGATGGGAGAGAGGGTGGCCGAGAGGGGCAGAGCTGGGCTCCCCCAACTCCTTGGGGCTCCACCCCTACCTCAGCATCTGGCCTTGGTAACAGCTTCCCCCCAGGTCCTTGCCTTTGGGGCCCCAGGAACAGTGGGGACGGTGAGCCAGGTGGCAGGCATGAGGCCAGGTGCATGCATGCCTCCGGGTGACTTCCCCAGCCAGCTGCCTGGGGCGGCGGGCTCCTTGAGGGTGGTGGCTGCAGAGGCGCCCCCCACACCTCGGTGCTGCCCGCAGGTCGGGGAGGCGAGGGCACTCTACAACATCGGCAACGTGTACCATGCCAAGGGCAAGCAGCTGTCCTGGAACGCTGCACAGGACCCTGGGCACCTGCCGCCTGATGTTCGTGAGACACTGCGCAGGGCCTCCGAGTTCTACGAGTGAGTGGGGTGGGCGCGGCGCCCACAGGGCCGAGGGCCAGGGTTTGTCCATCATTCCACACCCACCTCCAGAGCCGCTGCCTGCCGGGCACAGGGACTTGGTGGCAGCCCCAAGCGCAGGGAGCCCACACGGGCCCACCACCTCCTGGATGGTGACAGCCAGGCCGGCCCTCCTGCCCACCCCTGCCTGCACTGGTCCTCAGGGTCTGGGGGGACTCCGCCAGGCCCTGGTGTTTCCACGCTCGTTCATCCACAGCAGTGGAGAGAAGGGGGAGCTGCTGAGCCAAAGCCACATGTGGCATTTAGCAAACAGTGGCTGGAAGAAGGGCCGGATGGTGGGCCGAGCCTCTGGGTGTGGGAGAACCCTTCCCTGGGAGAAGAGGCTGCACCTGAGAACCAGAGTCGGGGGTGGGGAGCCCCAAGCTGAACCCCGGAGCTCAGACAACACCTGCTCCAGTGCCGGCGGAGCCAAGGGGGCTGCACCCCGAGCCGCCATCTTTCTGGGGCACAGGAATGGACACACCCCGGAGGGACACGCCCTGGGGGAGGGGCAGATCCTCTTTCCTGGGCAGGAGGGTCACTTGGGCAGGCTTCCCTCACAGTGGGAGGGACACGGCTCAGACAGCTCTGCCCCCAGGAGGAACCTGTCCCTGGTGAAGGAGCTGGGGGACCGGGCGGCCCAGGGCAGGGCCTACGGCAACCTGGGCAACACCCACTACCTGCTGGGGAGCTTCGTGGAGGCCACGACCTTCCACAAGGAGGTGAGTGGCCAGTGGGGCAGGCGGCGGCAGGGGTCGGGGTACCCCACTGGCCTCCCTACTTCATCTGGGTTTGGTGCTGGGGCTCCCAGGGCTGCTCCCTCTGGACACAGACATGGGGCCAGCCATCCTGCTGTCCACGTCGGGTCCTGGGGCTGCTCTGTGACCCCCCGGGTCTTGGGTTTGTGTCCTCAGCGCCTGGCCATTGCTAAGGAATTTGGAGACAAGGCGGCCGAGAGGAGAGCCTACAGCAACCTGGGGAACGCCCACATCTTCCTGGGGCGCTTCGATGTGGCCGCTGAGTACTACAAGTAGGCATCCCCAAGCCCTGGCCAGGGCGGGGGGCCTGAGGAGGGCACGGGCGGGGCGCCGGGACACGAGGCCAAGGAGGTGCCCGCCCAGAGGTGGGGGTGCGTCTGACCTCCCGGCCTCCCCAGGGCCAGGTGGGCTTCCGGGCCTCCCCAGAAGGACAGACTGACAAGCCCATGTCGGGGCACCAGGGACAGGGATAAGCGCCATGCCCTCACTGGCCCAGTGCTGGCCGAGGCCGTGGGCAGCACACAGCTGGCCTTGGCTGAGGGCCTACGGTGCTGGTTACTGGGGGCAACCCAGAGTTGTGTTTGCTGCTCGTGACGGCTCTGGGTGCAGGTGTAACCACTCCTGCGTGGACTCGGGAGGGTAAGGACCATGGGCTCCGGGGTCCCTGACTTGTGCTGAGACTGTCTCTGAGCCATCTGCCTCCTCGCCTGAGTAGCAGAGCCATGGCCACCAGGTGGAGACCAGGTCACCAGAGTTAATGCCCTGTGTCAGGACCCGAGACCCCAGTGGGGAGGCTGAGGCTCAGGGTGGTGAAGTGACTGGCCAGGGTGGGCAGAGCCTGGTGGGGCCCTGTCTGTCTGGTTCCAGCAGAGTCAGGTGCTGCAGCCATCTGAGGTTGGGGACGAGGCCGGGCCCCGGAGAAACCCCAGTGGGATCTTGGGCTGGAGGCCTCTGGGTGGGTGGGCTGCTTCCCCATCACCCACTGTCTAGCCCTTTGGAGGGGGCCGGGTGGGCACTGGGAGCCTCCTTCCTGGGTGCTGACACCCCCCCAACCCTCGTCCCCATGCAGGAAGACGCTGCAGCTGTCGCGGCAGCTCCAGGACCAGGCGGTGGAGGCGCAGGCCTGCTACAGCCTTGGCAACACCTACACGCTGCTACAGGACTACGAGCGGGCCGCCGAGTACCACCTGCGGCACCTGCTCATCGCGCAGGAGCTGGCTGACAGGTGCGCGGCCTGGACGTGGGGTGGGGGCCGTGGGCAGACCTGGCCCAAGGGCTCCGACAGCCCCTGCTGGCTGAACTGCGAGCTGATTGCCGCGGCCTTGGCCCTGCTCCGCCACCTACCACCGGGGACCCTGAGCAGGGCGGCTGCCTGGGCCTCAGCCTCCCTCCATCTGTGGCCCACGCGGCTCACTAAGTGGGACAGGGTGAAATGTGGTGGACGCTGGGCCGGCCACTTGCAGCCACCCTTAGTGCGCAGTGGTCAGGGGGGTGCGCCCCAGTCGCCCCTCCATCGCCCCTCTGAGCCACTTCCGTATCTATGTGAGCATGAGTCTCTACGGAGAGACAGACAGACAGACGGAACACTGGTAAACACACAGCCATACATGCTGGTCTGGGGGCAGTGGCTGGAGCAAGGGGCCTCAGAGCCCCAGGCCGTGGGCTTCTCCGGGTGGTAGAGAGAAGCTTCTGGAAGGTGTTCCCTAGGGGGCTTGGTATGGTCCACATTATCTTTCTGGTGATAGAGACATTCTGGAACGAGGTGGTGGTGACGTCACGGATTGTAAATGCACGCAGTGCCGCTGAAGTGTGCACTTTAAAGTGGTTAAGTTTATGTTACGTGATTTTTACCTAATTGAGAAGTTAATGACCCAGGGACTGGGGTCACTGCCCCCAAGGGTGGAGGGAGCCACAGGTGAGAGCCTCGCCGGCCACTAGGGGGCACGTGAGGCCAAACTGGGAACCACGCCCACAGACAGCCAGAGCGCCCTGCCCGCCACTCCACTCCATCACCCCTCCCCCAGCGCACCGAGCTGCCCACGCCCTGTCCTCTCCTGTCCTTCCCACCTCCCATCACGATGGACGCTGGGGGGCTTGGGACAGCTGGGCTCTGGGCAGGCTGGCAGGCCTAGGGGGCACAGACATGGACTCAGTTTCCCTTCCTGGCAGAGTGGGCGAAGGCCGGGCATGCTGGAGTCTGGGGAATGCCTACGTGTCCATGGGGAGCCCAGCGCAGGCCCTGACATTTGCCAAGAAGCACCTGGAGATCTCCCAGGAGGTGAGCCGGGCTCGCCCTCCCTTTGGCCCCCAACCACTGCCTTAGCCGGCCTCGAGGCCCTTCAGGTGCTGCCCAGCCCACTCCAGACCAGCCAGGTGCCTTCGTGTGCCCTGGGCTCTTTCTGGGCTGCATGCTGCGTGGGGGCCCAGCCATGGCCCTCCTTCAGAGACCTGGAGGCCGCTTGTTGGCCATAGCTGGGGTGGGTGGGGCGACAGGGACCTGCTTTCCACCCCCAGAGCATTAGTGTCCCTGCTGGGCAGGCCCACAGCCGGGTCCTTCTGTTGGATGGGGTTCCTGTGCCTGACTCCCAGGGAGGAAATGACCTGCCAGAGGCAGCCCAGGGGTATGAAGGTACAGCACCTCTGGGAGATCCTCCCCTGGGATGCCTCAGCTGGATGCCTTCCTGGGGAAAGTGGGCAGGGTCTCCGAGGGCCTGTCCACCCAGCATCCTCCCACTGTGGTCAGGGCAGCCCTAACCGGGGTACTGCATGGTCGTCACTGGTGGACTCCGGCTCCCTGGCTCCTGGTCTGTCCTCTCCTGCCCTCCCCCCACCTGCTCCTCAGCCCCCACCTGCCTCCAGGAAGCAGCTCAAAGGCAGGTTCACACCACCTCCCTCCAGCCCACCACAGGGCCCGCCAGGACCCACCGCAGCCCTGTGTCCGTGGGCCGGCAAGGCCCAGAGGTGCCCAGGTGGAGGTGCCGAGGAGCAGGAAAGCTGGGGCCGGGAGAGGTCCAGTCTGGAGAGCCCTTGCACCAGGGCTGCTGGCAGGGCCACGCCACGTCCCCCTGAGCGCACTCGGGGGCAGCAGTGGCCCTGAGCTCTGTGCAGAAGTCCTGCTCTGCCGGCCTCCTTCCGGCTTGCTCCTGGCGTTGCTCGTAGCCTCTGCCACAGGAGTCCTCCCTTTGAGCCCCTGCTCTGAGCTGGGAGCCTGGCGGGCGCCTGAGGGGTGGACGTGAAGCCCCGGGGGCTGGGAAGGAGCAGGCCAACAGCCCCCAGGAGGGTGCCCAAGAAGGAGGGTCCCCCACGGCACTTGGCCAGGCTGCCCGAGGTCCCAAGCATTCTTGGGGTGTGTGGGGTCTCCCTGGGGCATGTGAAGCCCCCCACACAAGGACAGACCCCCAGACTCTGCGTCTGGGGCACTTTGAGGCCTGGTTCTCTTGGAGGCCCAGGGGTCAGTGACTGTCCCGTGGAAGCCTGCAGCAGGGCCCGCCTGCCCACTGACCTGCCCTACTCGGCTGCAGATCGGGGACCGCAACGGGGAGCTCACGGCCCGCATGAATGTGGCACAGCTGCAGCTGGCGCTGGGCCGGCTGACCAGCCCGGCGGCCGCGGAGAAGCCTGACCTGGCTGGCTACGAGGCCCAGGGTGAGTTCCCGGGATGGGCGGGGGTGGTGGAGGGGGCATCCCGTTCCCCGCACGCTCAGACCTCCACCTGGGATTCAGGGGCCTTGGTGGGCAGGGGTGTGGCAGGAGGGGGCCTTGGGTGGAGGGAGCCGCTGGCTCATGCTGGGCCCCGGGGCAGCACTGGCGCCTCTGGGTTTGGGTTAGGAGGTGGGCTCTGACCCTAAACAGGGGACTTTCTAACAGAGCTGCCCCCGGATGGAAAGGGGCCCCTCAGGAGGTGGCGAGCCTGTGCCCCTGGAGGGTGTCGGCATCTGAGCCCCTTCTCTGCACTGCTCCAGAGTTCGCAGTGGGGTGGGGAGTGACTTGGTGTCCAGGGTGTTGGGCATACAGACGGGGGGCCCTGCTTCCCTGGGGCAAGTCAGGGATCAGGGGAGACTGGAGGGGCAGGAGAGAAATGGGCATTCAGGGGCCGGGGGCAGCATAACCAAAAGGGTGGCCCAGATTTGGGGCATTTAGTCAGTTCTTGATGGTCTCTGGGGCGGCGAGGGCCTGTGGCCACCCTGAGCCCCTGAATTTATCATCTGGTGGCACCATCACCGGCAGGGGCAGGAAAAGGAGGCAAGGGCTGCTCCCTGCCCTCCCCGGCTGCTCCCCTCTCCAGGGCTGAGGACCCCCTCCAGGCTGGGGGCTGGGCTTCCAGGACTGGAGTGGGAGGGGGCTGCTGGGAAGAGGGAGGGCTGGTCAGCCAAGAGGTGGAACGAGCCGTGCACGGGATGCCAGTCAGGTAAGGTCCTCCGATCAGCTGCGACCACTATAATGCCCTCATTCACAGGCTGCTGGTCACTCAACACAGGTCAGCGATGCTGTGCACACAAGGACAGAATGTTCCCTGCAAAGCAAATATATTAATAAATACGGGAGGCAGGGGGCCACCCTGAGCTGGCTTCTCGAGGCAGCTGCTGGTGGGTGTGGGGCGGGCTCTGGGCACAGACATAGCCACCCCCTCCCCGCCCACATGGCCGCCAACCCTTGGGTCCTGAGTTTTCAGGGAGTGCGGCTCCAGCCCTCTCACAGCAGTGTTCCCAGGGGTGCCCACCCTGCCCCAGCCTCCAGATCCCCCCCAGGCTTGCTCAGAGCCAGGCGGGGAAGCAGGTCCCAGCTGTGGTGATGGGTCTCTGGGGTTTCTGTGCCATAATGGTCATGGGTTTCTGATGATGGCCTGTCCTGGGAGATGGAGGGCACATGTCACCCCCTACTCAGAGGATGAGGATGGAAGATGGGAGGGAGGGAGCAAAGGCTTCTGGGACCCTCAGCTGTCCTTGTTTTGGGGGTGCTGTGGCTGATGGGGATGGGATGGAGTGTGGCCCCCTTGTCCCCCACCCTGCCCCAGGATGTACAGTCTGGTACCTCCTCTCCAGGCCGGGTTTTCCAAGGGTGGGTCGCTCTGCCCAGAGACCCCGGCCCTGCCAGGCCACCCTCTGGGAACCCCAGCAGCAGTGGGGGCAGGGCTGGGCCCAGCATCTGGAAAGGCTCCCATGGAGGCACGGCCCAGCTCCGGGCTCTCCTGACGTGTCCCTTCTTCTCCGAGCTGAGGAAGGGGGGGCACACGGCAGTTAACGGCCAGGCTGGGCCCGAACAAGGCAGCTCTGTCCTCTGCCCCACGCCGGCGCCGCAGCTCTGCCCCGTGCCTGGACCCTTCCTGGCCAGGGCCCCCGGAGGCCTCCTCCCCACCTGCAGGGCGGCCAGCAGACGCCGGGAAGAGGCCATCCTCCCAGGAGGTGCAGCCTGCTCAGGCCCAGGAGGCAGGTCTGGGGGCCCCGGACAGCCCTGGGGGACCCCAGCCCTGGGATGCCATTGCTGGGGGCAGGCCGGCGCTCTCCGTCTGGGTGGCCCTGGAGGAGACCCTGCTCAGGTGAGCCGGGCCGGACGGGGCCTTGTGGAGGAGCCAGTGCAGGGCCTTCCGCAGGGGCCGCATCATTCGTTCACTCGTTCATTCAGTGCTACTGCGCCTGCGGTGGGGGGCTGGCCTGATTGCCAGAGGGCCCAGCACCTGCCTTCTGGAAACTGCCCGTTGGTGGGGGTGCACATCCAGAGCCCATCAGTTTGGGGCATGGATGACGGGGGCCAGGTGAGCACCCTGGAGGGGCAGTGACCCAGTCTGGGCAAGCAGGAGCACCTCCAGGGAAGATGAGGAGGAATTCTGGGAGGATGGCGCTGGGGAGCCGGTGGGCGTGGCCTTTGTGGGGGCGTGGCCTTGGGTTGTGGGCGTGGTCTGTGGTGGGCGGCAGTAGGCCAGGCCTGCAGGCTTCTCTTTGCTGTCTTGATAGAAACAAGGGCCCTTTGTGTGGCCGCAGGACCAGAGCCCCCTGCGGTTCAGTCTCTAACCTCATGGCCCTCATGGCCCCCCCAACAGAGGCCCCAGAGCCAGTCTGGGTGGGCGGGACACCTCCAAGGCACTGTGGCCTGGGCTGGTCAGTCCTCTGGGTCCCCGGGTATACCCCACCCTGCACATCCCCACGAGGGCACCGCGCAGGTGGGGCGTGCGAGGGAGGCCCCACTGCAGCCCTTGAGAGGGCCAAGCGATTAGTGCGTTAGAGGAAGGATCCAGCCCTGAGCCTGCAGGCTGCCCGCCTGCTCTCTGAACGTCCCTCTGCCTGTCCCCCATGGGCCTGGGCTGTCCTCTGTCCCACAAGGGGGCTGTGGGACACAAGCCCCACGGCAGGCTGCCTTCTCAGCCCACTTGCACTGTTCAACAGCTCCTTTCACCCTCTGGGCATCCTGGGCACAGAGCAGCTGGACCCCTGGACGGTGCGTCTGGCCACCTCGGGGGTTGGGATGTATAAAGTGTGACGTCTAAGTGGCAGTTTAGGCTTCGGGCTCTGGCCCTGGCTCCACCCACCATGTCTTGGCCGACTGACCAGGTGACTTGACCCAGCTGTGCCTCAGTGTCCCCCTCTGGGTGTCCCCCACTGTGCCTCTTGGGAACAGGGCCTGGCAGGGACAAGGGCACAGCTCGTGCCCCTAGGGAGATCTAAAGATGTGGGGGCATCGCTGTCCATCGCACTCAGCACTCGGCCTGCAGCCCACTCACGGGCCGGGCACCTGGGACGGACCGCTGGGGGCTGCCGGGCTGCAGGGCCCGCATCTGCCGTGTCCCCTCTCCGGCTGCTCTCCGCTCGGCCTTCTGGGGCTCGCCGAGTGAGCTGACTTCTGTGAGCCCTGCCCAATACGGGCACGCCTGCAGCCCTGGCTTCCCATGTCCTGCCCCTGTCCCTGCCCCGCCAGGCTCTGTCACCTTGGCTGGGTGGCCGCCCTCCCTGAGCCCCCGTGTCCACAGTCCTGGGAGGGCCGCCAGGACTTCTGCTGGCGCTGGCCTTGGGGGCACAGTGCGTGGGAAACTGTGCACAGGGCCCCACACAGGAGCTGCCCAGTAGTCCCAGCTCCTAACCCCACGACCCTTGCTGAGCCCCAACGACGTACGGGCCCTGCTGGTGCTCTCGGGGCAAGTAAAAGTGAGGTCAACGTGAGCCACTCGTTGCTCCTGGAGGAGACGCAGTGGGGGCTGCTCAGCACGGTGGGGCCAGGCCATAGCAGTGAGTGTAGCAGCCGAGGGGGGCCCCTCGGAAGCCGCTGTTTTGGTCGGCTCAGGCTGCGTAACACAACGGCACAGACCGCGCAGCTTAAACACCGGACATTTGTTTCTCGCAGTTCCAGGCGCTGGACGTCTGAGGTCAGGGTGCCAGCATAGTGGGGTTCTGGTAGGGGCCGTCTTTCAGGGTTACAGACGGGGCAGGTGGGATACAGGGCAGAGAGAGAGAGAACTCTGGTCTCTTCTCATAAGGGCACCAATCCCATCTCGGGGGCCAAACCTCATAACCTCATCTAACCCTAGTCACCTCCCAAGGCCCCGCCTCCTAACACCATCACACTGAGGCTTATGTATATGAAGTTTGGGGAACACAGACATTCAGTCCACAACAGTGACGTTTGAGCAAAGACTTGAGGGAGAGGGGGGAGTGAGCCGTGAGCTTAAATGGAGGAACAGCAGACCAGGCAGAGGGAATAGCTTGTGCAAAGGCCCTGAGGCAGGAGGAGCCTAGCAGGGGAGGCTGTGTCTGGAGCAGAGTAAATGAAGGGAGACAGTAGGGGATGGGGTTGAGTGGGGCCTCACGGGCCCTTGTGTAAGCCCCCAGCCGCACCAGTGGGGCCCCTGCAGGGAGGAGCAGAGAAAGAATAAGATCTAACCCAGATCCTAAGGCGTCTCTGGCCCCTGGATGGAGAAGGGACTGCAGGGCAAGGCTGGGGCAGGGAGGCAGGTGAGAGACATGTGACTCAGGTCCCAGCCAGGTGAGGTGAGTGGAGGTCAGATTCTGGGGCTCTTGAAGGTGGAGCTGCCAGGATTTCAGAAGCAGAGAGGAGGTGAGGAAGGAGCTGGGGGCACAGCTCGAGCAGCTAGAAATCTGAGTTGCCTGACTGAGCCAAGGTCAGGACGGGGCGTGTCCTGGTGCCTGCTGGGGACAAAAGTGATGGGGAGGGTGCCGGTCAGACTCGGGAAGGGGTGGGGCACAGCTCAGGGAGGTTTCCAGGCCTTACCCTCTGGTGGGAGGGACGGGAAAGGAGCCAGTGGTCAGGGCTGCTGAGCCAAGGGCGCGGGCCGTTGGAGCCGCCGGGTCCGGGACGCCTCGGCCCACTCTCCAGACAGAGGGTGCATTTAGCGGGGCCGTCCGCCCTGGCCGTGTGGGGACCCGCCCCGGAGCCGGAGGCAAGCTGCGTGTCAGAGAGGCGTTTCAGTCTCTGCCACGGGCCAGGGACCGACTGTGCCAGGAATTGGTGGAGGGCCAGGTGGGGCAGCAGCAGCCGTGCAGGGCGCAGAGCTCAGCGGACAGCGTGGGGAAACCGAGTCAGGCCCCCAGGGTGTCAGGAGGCAGCCAAGAGAGACGCCCTCAGCCAGCCCATGGCGGGAGATGGAGCAGGGTTCTCGCCGGCTGTGGTGAGTGAAGGGCCCTGCGCAGTCCTGCCCATCGTGGGGGCCGCTCAGCCTTTGGGACGGAGATGGCCTGTCTACTGTTCCCGTCGCTGCACACGGCGGGTGGGCAGTGTCCCCAGGCACCGTCTGCCTTCCTCAGCGCTGCCTTCCCCATCCAGGCTGGGGGTGGGCAGCAGGGGACCCCCCCGACCCCAGTCACTGCCCCATCTTCAACCTTGCGACCCGGGGCAGGCTATGTGCCCTGAGGCTGCTCCTCTGCTCGGCGCCTGGCTGAGTCTGCCAGCCACGGGTGCTTTTCAGGGGGCAGGGAGCCTTGCCTGGGGGCACTGGTGTGGGGGCGGGAGGGCAGCAAATGGCCCTAAGTCCTGGGCCACCTTGGTGCTTCCGGGAGCTGCCGGCTGCCCCCTGGTTGCCCCGGACGGCAGCTGCAGATGCTGTCCGGGAAGAGAATCGCTGCATCTCCTCCCCAGGCCATCTCACTTCTCGGCCTCTGGGGAGCAGGGGACAGAGTATGGCTCCCTGGGACCCCAGAGGCCAGGACCTGGGGAAGGGCAGAGGTGCCCACACCACCTCCCCCGGCCAGCTGTCGACCGCCTGCTCAGTTAGTTCTTAGGAAGGCCTGGCCGTTCAGTTTGGGCTGGTGTGAGTGACGGGCTGCTTGAGCCGGCTCCCCTCCCTCTGGGGACTGTGTCCCGGGCAGTGGGTGTGGGCCCAGGCTTGGGTCGGGATGCCCTGCTGAGGGCTCCGCCTGCCTCCTACCACTGCCAGCTGCGGCCATGCGCTGGGCTGCGCTGTTTTGCCACCTCACGCAGCCGGGGGCTGGACGGGAGGCTCCCTGGATCCAGCTCCTAGACCATCCACCACAGGCGTCCAGCCCAGCTTCGTGGGTGGAGCCCGTGTGTGGCGCTAGGGGTGACCACAGGGGGCAAACCGTCGTATCCATGGCTGCAGGTTGCTGGGCGCCCAAGACACGCCAGGCGCTGGAAATGCATGCCCCCTGCACGGCTGGCACGTGCCTGCTGGCCCTGTCAGGGAGTGCCCCAACGGAGGGGGCCACTGAACTCCAGAGAGCGGGGAATGGGTCCCAGGTCAGGTAGTACTAAGCTGGGACCCTCAGAGTGTGCACTGAAGCCTGAGGCCTCACTTGCTGTACCCGTTGTGCTTCCTGGCCTCACACAATCTGGCCCTTGGGCATGAGCTCCTGGGCGCCCTGTCCGTGCCCAGCATATGTCTGCAGGTGGAGGGTCACTCGGCTCCAGGAGGACCTGGCCTGCCCACAGTGCGGCCGGGTGACAGGTGAACGGTGCTCTTTGAAGGCAGGCGCAGGGCAGCTGAGCCGAGTCTGAGGCCCGTGGTGGCACAGACGCGGGAAGAGCGTTTCAGGGCAGGGAACAGTGCGAGCTAAGGCTGGCAGGGAGGCCCCGGGTGTGGGCGGGAAGAGAGCTGGGGCCTCCAGGGGAGCACCAAAGCCAGACCCCACCCAGGCCCCTACAGGGTCCGCTCCATCTCAACGCCTGCCCGCTTGTCCACTCGGGAGGCACAGTGGGCCTGCGGACTCTGCGTTTGCGTCTCCATGGGGCAGTGAGGTGGGAAGCTTGTCCCCAGCCTTCGGGGTGCAGCTGATGATCCTCAGCTCCTGGAGGGCCCGGCCCCGGCCGCCAACCTCGAGGCCAGGGTTCTGTGCGGGGCTGACCGGGCCCACTGTCTTTCAGGGGCCAGGCCCAAGAGGACGCAGAGGCTGAGTGCGGAGACCTGGGACCTGCTGAGGCTCCCCCTGGAGAGGGTGAGTGGGCTCTGGCAGGCGGCGGGGGGCACGTCGGGACGACCTCAGCGGAGTGGCAGCAGCTGCAATTGGAAGTAGATCGCGGGCAGCAGGTCCATGTGGCCGGGGCAGTGTTTGCTGAGCTGCCAGCCCTGCCTTGGCTCCTGTCCGTGTCATGTCCCCTATGATGGGAGACAGACATGCCCTCTGTGGCCTGAGACCATGGACAAGCCATCTGTCCCTAGAGAGACCCCCACAAGGCTCTGTGGTACCAGAGCCCACTCCCTCCCACCTTACTGCAGGGTCCTGCCAGCCATGTGCCCCGGGGAGAAGCCACAGTCCTTACACATTGTAGACCGCTGCCCACCCTCCCCCCCGGCCACTGTCCTCGGTGTCCTGGCTGGCCCTCACTCCCGGCTGCTCTGTGCCCATTGGACGCTGCCCTATGGGGGAGCAAAGCTGTCACAGGTGGAGCAGCTAGGACTCGGAGCCCCCAGACAGATTCCGGGGCTGGCGGGGTTGGGCCTGGGCCTGCTCTGGACGTGCCAGGGGTGGGTGTTTTGTGACCCTGGGGAGTGGCGTAACCTCTCTGAGCCTCTGGTTCCTCCAGTTAGACTGGGTTCAGTTGTGGACGTCCATGGGGGGCTCTTGGGGGACAAGGCTCAGGGCGGCCCACGGTCACTTGTTGCTTAGTGTGGGAAGACCAACATTTGGGCCCTGACGTCCTCCAGTGCCCTGTGTCGCCTTGCCCAGCCCCCCCCTTAGGGTCCTGGGGTGAGGAGCATTGGTTCAGAATTGCTGGTGGCCCCCACCCACACCTGGCCTTCCTCCCCCTCCCCAGGAGCAGAATGGAGACAGCCACCATTCAGGGGACTGGCGGGGGCCGGGCAGGGACCTGCTCCCCCTCCCTGTGAGGAGCAGGAAGTACCAGGAAGGGCCAGACACCGCTGAGAGGAGGCCGCGGGAGGGCGGCCACTCCCCACTGGACAGCGCGGACGTCCGGGTGCAGGTGCCTCGCACGGTAGGCGACTTCTTCCTGGTTGCTGACAGGGAGTCCAGGGTGGGGCCTCCACCACACAGCAGACCTGGGTGGCTGGGCCGGGCCACACCAGGGGGCAGAGGTTGTGGCCCTGTGCTGTCCCCTGGGACCTGGTGGGCACAGGGCCTGCTGACAGTCCAGGGTACTCAGGGCAGGGACAGTGTTTGATTGTCAGCTGCACTGGCCTCTGTGACCCCAGGCCACACAAGGAGCTGGACTGGACTGGACTGGAGGCCTTGTGGGGTTTGGAGGCGACAGCCCAGCCAGGGACTACAGGACAGCTGGGGGCGGGCAGCTCAGGTCCTTGGGCCCAGCCAGCAGCCTGTCCTAGGGACACAGTGAGCATACGGAGGCAGATGGACAGGTGGAGGCTAGGTAGACAGGTGGCTGGGGGATAGAGAGATGGGGGACAGCTGCAGGAGGGGTGGGTGGCCATGGTCAGGCAGATGGACAGGTGGGGGATGGAGGGTGGGGGGCTGGGCCTCTTGCTGCCTGGCGGTGCCCCACTGTGCCCAGGAGCCAGGGCCGGCCTCTCCAGACTCAGGAACTGGTCAGGGTTTGAGGGGCGCAGAGGAGCAAACCTGCGTGCCTGCCAGAGCCCGGATTCAGAGGTCAGCCTCGAGCCCTCCATGCAGAACACCTGGGTCCAAAACTCTGGGAATTAGTCTAAAACCAGTTCCCTCCAGGGGCTTAGTCAGCACCTTTCTGGCTGCAAGGGGGTGGGTGCCGGGTTGATGTTCTCAGCCAGATAGCTGCATCGCACCCGTCTTTGCCACGAGCCTGCAGACGCCTCCGCTGACCCCATTTGACCCTGCTTGACCCCGTTTGACCCCAGTGTTCACCGTCCGATGGGCCACCTGCCGGCCAGGTTCAGTGTCCGTAGAGTGAGAGACAAGGAGGGGAGGAGCACACCTGGGGAAGGCGAGGGGCTCCCTGCACAGGGCGGGGGCTGCAGTCTGCCCAGGCGGATGGGGCTGTTACTGACACTGCCCCTCCCCACCCCAAGCTGAGTTCAGGGGCCTCACCACCAGCACAGTGGAATCTTCAGGGTCTGAGGAGGCAGCCTGAGGGGCCCTGAAAACTTTTCCAGGGTGGGGCATGGGGAGCAGGGCTGGGCCAGCCCCAAAGCTCAGGGCGAGAAGAGTCATGGAGTGGGCCCAGCCAGCAAGGGCCTGGGCAGCAGAGGATTGTCAGCGCCGGCTACTGGGGAGCCATGGCCGGCTCTGGAGCAGGATGGGCCTGCCCAGGGCCGAGCAGGGGCTGGGCAAGGCCTGGCTTGTGCTTCATGGCCCCCACTGCCTGAGCGTCTCCATCACGGACCGTCCTTACTGGATGACGGCACCATCCACACCTGCCGTTGTTCGTGTTGCGAAGCGTGGGCTGAGCAAGGCAGGTGCCAGAGCCTGGTCCCCAGTGGCCCAGGCCCCCCGCAGCAGGGAGAGCGAAGAGAGACTTGTCTTTGATTCCCCCACACCCCGAAATCACATCAGCCTCCCGGCAGGAGGACTATTTTTAAAGTCTCCCCAAAAAGACCACCTAGCGAAGCCATGTGCCCATGATCTTCCCGTCCTGGCCGTCTCAGAGCCTCGGCCCCAGAGGCGGGCCCTGGAAAGGGGAAGCCAGGCTAACCAAGCCAGGATGTGGCTCCTGGTGGCCCCAGCCCCCTGGTCCTGGCGGGGCTGAGCGGCAGACCAGCACAGTGAGACCCACTCGTCTGTCCACGTGTAGTTCTGGCCCAGCCGTGTCCCTGGTGCTGTCTCCAGGCCCCTTCTACCAAAGAGACGACAGCCGGCGCTCGGGCTTGTCACGTGTAGCACGTTAACAGCAGCTCTAAGAGGGGAAACTCAGGCACAGAGTGGCAAAGAAGCTGGCCTGAGCGCGTCCAGCCAGGAACAGTGGAGCTGTGGTTCCGAGGCAGGGTCAGCTCCTGGCAGCCCTGGCGTGGCCCCCAGAGAACTTGGGGGGCTCCAGGCCATGGTCCTACAGCTGGTGGCCCGGACCCTGATGGCGGCCTGAGCCCCCTGCTCGCCAGGCGCTGGACCCAGCTCCCCCGAAAGGAGGCAGCGCTGGGGGCCGGGCCTGGGCTCTAGGGGCCCCTTCTTCCCTGGGTTGTGTTGGAGGAGGCCACCCGGCAGTGCTGAGGTCGCTGTGGAAGGAGCAGGCCAGAGAGGCCCCTTGGAGGGGGTTCCGCGGTCGCCCGTCCTCCCCACCTACCCCATGGGGGCGCACACCAGCTGCCCCAACCCCCCGTGTGCTCAGGCCGCGCAGGGCCCCAGCACTGGGCTGACGAAGGTTGTGCTGCGAGCGGGGACGGGCTGTCCTGGGAGCCAGCCAGAGGCTCAGACTCCACAGGCCTCCTGAAGCAGGAGAGGACGGCGATGGGGCAGCGGGAGGCTGGGCAGAGGCCAGGGGGCCGTGGTGGGGGGTGGCGGCCATGTGGCGTCAGTGTCAGGCCACACGGCCCTTGCCAACGGCCACCCAGGTCTAGGATGGAAAGGACCCAGTCCGTGTGGCCACTCACCAGCTGTGGGCCGCGGCAGCCCTGGCCTCGGGAATCGGGCCCAAAAGAGGCAGCTTCTCCCGCTGTCCGGCTTGGGAGGAAGCGGGGGCCTGCTGTCAGAGGGAAAACGCTTTCCAGACGGGCTCCCACCCCCCGCCGCCCCGTGACTGCCCGCAGGCCCCAAGCAAGAGGGCTCGAGCGCGCTGGGGGAAGGCCATCTCAGGTGTTTACGGAGCACGCGCACAAGTGTGTGTATGAGCCTCTGTGTGTGTGTGTGTGTGAGCCTGTGTCTGTGTGAGCCTGTGTGTGTAAGAGCGCCTGTGTGTGTGTGAGCCTCTGTGTGTGTGACCATGTCTGTGTGTGTGTGTGTGTGAGCGTGTGTGTGTCTGTGTGTGTGAACCTGTGTGTGTGTGAGCATGTCTAAGTTTGTGTGTATGTGAGCCTCTGTGTGTGTGTGTGAGCATCTATGTGTGTGTGCCTGTGTGTGTGTGAGCATGTCTCTGTGTACGTGAGCATGTCTGAGTCTGTGTGTGTGTGAGCCTGTGTGTGTGTGCGTGAGCATGTCTCTGTGTGTGTGTGTGTGTGTGTGTGTGAGCGAGCACAGCGTGGGTGGGCGGGGACAGGGAGGGGCCGTCACCCTGGGCCCTATTTAAGCATCAAGTTGACAGGCCCCGTGGGTCTCGGCAGCGAGGCGGCACCGGGCGCCACAGGCAGGGTGGTGCACGGGTGCCTTGGCATCCTGCTCAGCTCCACGTGGCCGAGCGCCCCGAGTAGCGCCTGGCTGCTGCTGGAGAGAGCTGCGGATCCCGCGTGAGTGTGGGTCCCCGACGCAGGTGGGGGCTCCGGTGCACATGGGCCAGCCTCACGGTGGGACGCTGGGCTCGGGCGGGGCACAGCTCTTCTCCTGGGGGCGGGGGGAGTGAACGGTCAGGGAGTGGGTGTTACCTGGGGGGCTGTGTGGTCGGCCTGGGGATGAGCGGTCGGCTCCCTGGCGTCCTCGCCTAGGCCAGTTCCATGGGGGGAGAGTTCCAGCTTGTTCTGCCCTGCCCAGCTGTTCCCCTGCCTGTCTTCAGCCCCTACCCTTGGTCCTGGGCGGCTCAGGAACCGTGGCAGCTGCAGCTCTGGGGGCTGACCAGGCAGGCTGCGGGGGGCAGCTGCGCTGGGGGTTGGCTCCTTCCTCCCTGGGAGAAACTGGGCTGAGACTCCAGCAGGAGGAGCGGGAGTGAGGCTCCAGGAGGAGCTCTGAGACCTCCGGGATGGAAGCAGCCCGCGTCTGGGGCAAAGAGGAGGCTGCAGTCTGGGGATAGGCCCCAGGTCCCCTGCATGTGTCCTGCTGGGGCCCAGGGTGGGGTCCTGAGCCAGGGGTGCAGGCCCTTTGTGCTGTCCGGAGCTCACTCTGCACCTGTGATCTCAGGCCCAAGGTGCCCGCACAGGGGAAGTGTCATCCCTTACAGGCGGCCCCGGCTCGGGGAGGGTGGGGGCTGCCAGCCCCAGGCCAGTGCCAGGGCTCAGGCCTCTCTTCCAGTCCCGGCCACAGTGCTGATGGGGCCACAAGAGGCCTCGGGGCAAGCCCCCTCTCCTTCAGGTGTACCCCTTGAGCCCTGAATTCCAGCTCAGGGAGGCTGGAGGAGTGTTGGGGTCCCGGGGTCACGCCTGTCTTGGGAAGGGCCTGGCTCCATTTACCTGGCCCACAGTCTGTCTGCAGCACCCCAGCTGGGGCCAGACGCCGGGGCTGGGGCCCGAGAGCAGCAACTGTCCTCTGTAGCAGGGCTGTGCTGTGCTCACTCCACATCTGGCTGAGCCCGGGTCCCCCACAACCACTTGGCCCCAAACAGCCTGGGAGCAGAGCCCACGACCTCCTGGGGGAGGCGTTTGTGCGTCCCCACCAGAATGATGCTGGCCCCCGGCTGCCAGGCCTTCAGGTCCTGGAGGAGGCCCCACCCAGGTGCAGCCCCGGGCTGCAGCTTCTCTGCACCGGCTCTCCCTTCCTCCAGGCCCAGGGGGGCTCAGGGGGGCCGGGCTGCAGGAGAGCAGAGCCCTGGAGGGGGCGGTCTGCCGGTGGGGCAGAGGGGTGAGGGGGGACCTGAGAGCCCAGAGCCTGGGTGGAGTCTCTCTCCTCCCAGCTGCCACCTGCCGGCACGGCCCTCAGCACACACTGGCAGGACCGCCTGTTCAGCTGCCCCTCCCTGCCCATGATGCGCCCCCAGGCCCTCCTGGCCTTCAGAGACCGCACTGCCCCACAGCCTGAGCCCGGCTCTGAAGGGCCCTCAGCTGCACTCCGGGAGCCCAGGCCGGGCCTGCTTGTGGTGGAATCCAACCCTGCTCCTTGCGACTGTGTGACCTTGGGAGGCTGTGCAAGCTCTCTGGGGCTTGGCTGCCGCCTCTGTGCAACGCGCTGCTGGTGGGTTGTCAGGAGTTTAAGGAGTCACACATTTTGGGCAGCACTGACACCCAGTAGGTGACATCTTTGCTGCCATGGTCTCTCCATGAGCCCAGCTCTGACCGGGCCCTGAAGAAGCCCCCAGCCAGCTGAGAGATGGACGGGCCAGGGCTGGGCAGGGGACACTGGCTTCTGAGGGGGGTAGGTGTGGTGCTGATTTGCAGCCAGAGGGTCCTCTGGAAGCCGGCCCATGCACCATCAGCCCTCAGGGCCCTGGACCGGGCCTGGTGAGGCTAGGCGGGGAGTGGGGGCCCCAAGAGACCACCAGGCCCTCCAGCCTCCCCTTGCATGGATGTGTAAACTGAGGCCCAGAGTGGGAGCAGGCTTGCCCAAGGTCACCCTGCCAGTAGGACTCAGCCAGGCCCAGTGACCTGGTCTCACGCTTCTCTCCCCACCCCCACTCCCTCTGGAACTGCCGCTTCTCCGAGGGCCACCCACCCCACCGTCTTAACATCACCTGTGGGATTTGCCCAGGTGCACTGGGTCACCCCGGGGTCAGCCTCCCGCCATCTAGGCTACACACTGAGTGTCTCCCAGAGTCCCCATGGTTCAACTGGCAACCCAGTACTCCCAGCCTGGCGCCCAGGCTCTGCGCCCCCAGCCACCCAGAGCAGATGTTAGCATCTTCTCTCTAGTCTGAACACCCCACACCCAAGGGCCTGGCCCTCACACATCTGTTATCCTCGGGCCTGCCCATTGGTCTAGGACCTTGTAAACATGTCCAAACCCTACGAGGGGTGGCACTGAGGTGGAACACAGGAGCCGGAGCCCTCACCTCCCCCAACTCGGGCTCTTTGCCTTTGGTGATATGACCTGACATTCCTGGCACCTCTGGGTCCACCATCATCACTGCTGGGGCCCCGACACTGACCACTGCGAGTGTGTCTACCAGCCAGCAAGGCTCCCTGCCTGCTGAGAGCCCCAGTCCCCTCTCTCACTCACGCGTGTTTGTTCATTCGGCAGGCACTAGTGAGTGCTGTGCTGGGGGCCAGGGCTCCAGAGGTGCCCAGGGACAGGTGGCGCTCATTGCAGGGGGCTGACACAAGTGCCTGACAGAGGCCTGCTGGGAGGTGGTGGTGACACTGAACTGGGGGGAGGGGGTGCTGGGGGGAGGTGTTCCCGGCTAGGCAAGTGGGGGTCACGGTGGCAGGGTGTGGGTGGCCGGGGGAGGGGCAGTGACCTGTCCAGGGAGGATGATGGAGGCCTGCATGGGGGTGGCAGCCGAGGGAGGAGAGAGATGGTGGTGGTGCCGGGGAGAGGAGGAAGGGGCAGCGGGCACAGGTGGCTACTGGCCAGAGGGGGAGCAGGTTTGGGGTAGGGTGGCCGGCAGGTGGCAGATGAGGGTCCTGACCTTTGCCCAGGCCGAGCAGCCCCCCGACTCGTGTGCAGGGGTCTGTGAGGGGCTGCTGACCACAGCACGGCCAGTTTGGCTGGGCCGAGCTGGTGCTGACGGCCCCCACCCCCCACCAGAGCATCCCTCGGGCCCCGTCCGCTGACGAGGAGTGCTTCTTTGATCTGCTGAGCAAGTTCCAGAGCAGCCGCATGGACGACCAGCGCTGCCCCCTGGAGGAGGGCCAGCCCGGGGCCGCCGAGGCCACGGCCGCCCCCAACTTGGAGGAGAGGATCGGTGAGTGCCTCCCCCGGGAGTGCCTCGAGGGGTGCAGGGGCCAGGGCCGGTCCCCCCCTCCATTGCACTGTCCCCGCAAGCCCTTGCTCCTGAGGGGCGGGGCAGACCAGCTGCAAAGTGCCCCTTGTCACTGTGAGCTCCCGTCCCCCGCCGCCTCGCCCAGAGCAGCATCCTGGGAAGCATGTAATCATCCCGCCTCCAGAATGTACCGTGTCAGGCGTACTGGCGGTCTTGGAGTGGGCGTGGGCAGCAAGGCTTCCTCCTGTCACCTCCTGGGAGCCCCTGGAGGCGGGCGTGGGGCAGCTAAGAGCGGCTGGGATCTGGGGTCACTGGAGATGCCGCTGGGAGCCCTATGCCCCCGGGAGTGTGGTGGGCTGGGCTGCGCTCACAGCAGTCAGAGCCCTTGCCGGCCCAGCCCGGCCCCGCCCAGCCTCAGGCCTGACCCGCAGTGGCCCTGCCGCAGCCCAGCCCTCGCTGACAGCCTCCCCCCAGACCGAAGAGTTCTTCGACCTCATCGCCAGCTCGCAGAGCCGCCGGCTGGATGACCAGCGGGCCAGCGTGGGCAGCCTGCCCGGACTGCGTATCACGCACAACAACCTGGGGCACCTGCGCAGTGACGGGGACCCCCAGGAGCCAGGGGATGACTTCTTCAACATGCTCATCAAGTGCCAGGTAGGCCTGCAGACCACAGCGGCTCCCATCCTTCCTTCCCAGGCTGGGTCTGGGGACACCCCAGGGGCAGGAGAACAACAGGCTGGCTCAGCCAGTGTCACTGAGTGCCCACGGGTGCACAGATCCGGGGCCCTCCTCCTGGGACCTCCCCGAGAATGTCACCCCAGGATGTCCTCAGGCTGGCCACCCCTTACAGCGCAGGAGCTCGGAGCCAGGGGTCGCCAGGTCCTCAAGGTTGTGGCCTCGGGGATCCCCCTGCCTTCCACATCCAGACGGAGAAAACCAAGGGCCAGACAGCACCCCAGAGCGGGGAGGGCAGCAGGGGTCTGGCCATCACCGTGGGGTCCAGCCACCCACCCGTCTGGGCAAGGCTGAACAGCAGGCGGGTCTCAGGGTCAGGAAACCTTCAGAGAAACGTCTGGGGAGGGGGCAGCTGCTCGGCCGCTGTGAGTCCCCAGATCCGACGTTCGTTCCCACAGAGGAGAGGAAAGTGCAGCCCTGAGCCAGTCAGAGGAGCCTCAAAACCAGCCCCTACCGAGAAGGCCCGAGCCCCCCGTCCACACGCACGCACGCCCTGGCAGCTGCGCTGGCTCCCCGCCCTTCTCCTCCAGGCCCTGCAGAGACGCCCAAACACCCCCTTGGCCCCCTCAGCCCCGCGCCGGCCTCAGCCCCCTGGTCCCACGGGGAGCCTTGGGCAGCTCCGCACGGCACGCTCCGGGAGCTGCAGTCCCTGGCCCTGTCCCCAGGACTCGTGAACACACCACTCTCAGGGGGTCTTGGGGGAGGCCCTGCAGGCCGCCCAGCAGGCTCATCTCCTGCCCAGTTCGCCCCACACTCCCCTTCAACCTGCCCTCGCTGGGCGGCTGTTCTTGGGGTCAGGGCTCCCAGCCAGAGCGCCCCAGAGCTGACTTCCCAGGCGGATCCTGGGAGGCCCGAGGCGGCCTGACCTGCCCTCCTGAGCGGGCACTGCCGCTGGACAGCAGCCTCTGCCTCCGAGTTGTCTGTGGGCCATTGACCACTGGGCCCAGGAGCTGGGGCGGCCCTCCAAGGCTTGGGGAGGGCGAGGCCCCCGACCCGCGTGTCCGTGTCTGCTCAGTCCTCCAGGATTGACGACCAGCGCTGCCCACCACCCGACGTGCTGCCCCGCGGCCCCACCATGCCCGACGAGGACTTCTTCAGCCTCATCCAGAGGGTGCAGGCCAAGCGGATGGACGAGCAGCGGGTGGACCTCGCTGGGAGCCCGGAACAGGATGTGGGCGGGCCGCCTGAGCCCCGACAACAGTGCCAGCCGGGCGCCAGCTAAGGCCTCACGCCCACCAGCCAGGCCCGCCCCACCCCCACTCCTGGACGCCGGGTTGGGGGCTCACAGCTGTCCAGGATGCCCATGGCCCCCCGAGAAGCCAAATCCTCCCGGGGCCATGGCTAAGGGCAGGCTGTGAGCCCACTGAGCCGGACACTGGGCACACAGCCCACATGGCGTCCCCTCCCCAGGGCGGCAGGCTCGGGCAGCTGTGGGGAAGGGCATGCTTTGGCCCGGGCCGGCCCCCACATGGTACACGGCTTCCTGCAGGCCGGCCCGGCCCAGCCTTGCCCTCACCCTGGCCCCTGCCCCTGGCTGGGCCTTCAGCATGTCGGCCCCAAACCCCGGTGCTGTCTAGACCCTCCGTGTCCTCTCCCTGACCCTGCCCAGCTCCGTCCTGCTGGCCAAATGTGAAACCCTGCCCCTCCCCCAAGCCCCCAAAGCTGTCTCTGAGGCCTCTTCTCTGGGCCATTTCTGTCCTCCCAAGGCTGGTCCCAGGGATGCCCGTACACAGACATGCTTGCCACAGTCCAGGCCTCTCCCCTCCGGGGGGGCGCCCTCTAGCCCCTCTTCCCTCCCTCCTACCCGGCAGGAGGAGGAGGAGGAGGAAGAGGAGGAGGAGGGCAGGCACGGAGAGCCCCGAGGCAGGCCCGGTGCCCCCGACCCTGACGCTTCAGGTCCAGCCCTGCCGTGCGCTGCCACCCTGTCTCACGCAGTGGGGAGGGATGGGGAGGAGCCCACCTTTCTCCACTCCAAGCCCCGCAGCCAGGAACGGGCCACCTGGTCCCGGGGATTCCGATTGGCAGCGAGGTCTGTCCCCCCAGGGTGTCAGGACGGGCGGGCGGGCGCGCGCGGGGCCTCCAGCTCTGCAGCCATGGGGGAGTCTGGGGTCAGCTCAAGTCAGCCCTGTCCCCCCATGAGCTCCCAGCCCTCACTCCCAGCAGCCGGGGGAGATGCCATCCCTGCCTCGTCCCGTGGGGAGGGTCGAGTCGGCCCTCAGCGTGGGGCAGGAGTCAGGCCCCCTCGGGGACCGTGGCCTTGGCCCACCCCCTGTGGGGCCCACCACCAGCCTTCTGGAGCGTTCCTGGGGGGAGCCAGAACCCCACCCCCAGAATGTGAGGCAGCACCTCCCCGGGGGGCCCCCCGGCCCGGCCCCACGGTCCTGCTCTCCGAGCGTGGGGAGGCGGCAGGACCGCGCCCTGCAGCACAGCCTGGGGGCCTCCAGTGATGAGCGCTCTGAAGGGGCGTGGGGCCCCGGGGGCAGGCAGGCTGGTGGGCATGGGACAGACGGAGCACAGGCCGTGTGGCCGCCCTGTACTTGAATGTACTGCGTATTTATTCCTCACACGTGTTTGCAATGTTGTCGGTAGGTCCTTTCAGACCCAAGAGGTACATTGTTTTTCTGTTTTTTCCCAAAAAATAAAGTCTGCCAAGTGAACAGTGTCCGTGTCAGAATTAGTGCTGGGGGGTGTCAATCCGGGAGCCGCGGGCAACTGACCTCACTGGGTGAGCAAGCCTGCACCACGCAGGCCCTGGGGCTCAGGAGCCACACCCACCCTCCCAGGTGGCCCCTGCTCCAAGCCCGCCACCACACATTGGCTGGGTCCCTAGAAACGTCCCAGGGCTGGGGGTCTCTGCTGTGCTCATCAGTGAGGGGGCTCAGGCTCAGAGGGGTTAAGCGCACTCCCAGGGACACGCAGCCAGCAAAGGAGCAGTGTTGGCGCCCATGTGTCTCCCAGAGCCCGTGCCTTCATCCTGAGCCCCGCACTCTCCCCGGGAACAGGCGACAGGAGCCAGAGCAGAGACTGTCCTGACGCCGGGACACGGCTGCGGGACGCGTGGAGCGTGCTGTGGGGGCCGGCCCTCCCGAGCGGGACACAGGTGAAGCCCTTGGCCTCCCCCTCGGTCAGCCCCCACAGCCGTCCATGGAGCTCTCATGGGCTGAGTTCGCTGCCACCCCCACCCAGAAGGCTGCGTCCCAGGCGACCAGTTCCATGGTGATCGCGGTCCAGCTGGTCCACAGGGCGAAGGAGCCCTGGGCCTGTGCTCCACGGGGGGCTCGCATCTGGGGACACAGCAGTGCTGGCGGTTGTGGTGTGTGCCAGGAAGGCCACCCCCACAGGCACTTCCCGGCCCAGACCCAACGCCGGGCTGGGAACCCCACCGCCTCCCCACTCGCAGGAGGGGGGCTGACTGAGGGCAGGTGGAAAGGGGGGCAGCCCGGCTCCCCGCCGGCATCTCTGGGTCCTGAAGTCGGCCACAGACATGGTGTCCCGGAGCCCTCAGCACCCGGGCCTCAGGCCAGGCTGACTGGAGCCCACGTTGCGGGCTGAGCCCCCACCTTCGTCTGCTCATGGACCCACAGAGCCAGGCTTCCCTGGCACTCAGAGGGAGACAAGTGACCCTGGAGAGGGGCAGAGGCCGAGGGTCCGTCCAGTGGGGGCTGCAGGGGAGGCTGACCAGTGAGCTGAGGAGCGAATGGGGGACTTCTGCTCCAGAAGCGCTGGCTAGGAATGCAGACCAAGCCTCGGAACGCCGCAAAAGACACTACACGTGTGTCCCCAACAGCATCGGGAGCAGAAAGACCATCAGGAATCGCCCGCCAAAACCTAGTAGCGGCTGAGCCCCCAAGGGGTAGGCCCCCGCCTTTCAAGCTGCCTCTGTCCTGGGGCCTCGTCCATTTGAAGGAGGCTGCTACAGAGTTAGGGGCACCCTAGCCTCGCACGAGGCGGGCTCCCCGGACCACGGGGCACAGGCAAGATGGAGTGCAGCATTTGGAGGAGCCAGAGCAGGCCCAAGTCCGGTCCCCGGTGCAGCGTCTGTCCCTTGGCCACTCCTGTGGCTGTGGGCACGTGCCCACCAGGCCGAGGAGAGGCCGAGTGTGGCCCATGACGTGGGGGAGCTGGAACAGGACAGTTGCTGTACCCCAGCCTCTCTCAGGTGGCCCTGCAGGACAGCGAGGTGGGAGCCTCCCACAGGTAAGGCCGTGCAGCGCCTGGTCACCTGCTCTGCACCTGGAGAGCCAGTCGAGTCAGAATGCACGCAGATGCACAGGCAGGGGCTAGTAGCCTGGCTGGTGGCAGGGGCCTGGGAGGAAGAGTGTGGGCTCTGAGAGGAGGAGAATGTAGACAGGAGTGAGCACAGGCATGAAGACCTCTGTGGCACGAGTTAACGTCCAGGAGGAAGCCCCTGCCCTGAAGGGGCCCCAAACAACCAGGCACATCAGCCCGGCACAGCCACCCCAGGACCTGCACAGTGGACGGACCAGCAGGGTGGGCCCAGGTAAGGTTCCCACTCGCCAAGGCGACCTGGCCAGGGCAGCTGCCAGTACCCCCGGGCCGCGCAAGGGCGTGGTCAGGCCGTGATGGCACTGGCTGGCCGCTGGGCAGCAGGTTGATTCCGTCCTCCTCCACTGTAGCAGGGCTGCCTTCGTCCTACCTGGACTCCTACACCCCAGGCATGCACTTGCCTTCCCGCTCCCAGTACTGCCAGCTGGCAGACCCACCTGGGACCCGCCAGCCACCTTAGAGCAAGGCGGTGCCGCTGGCCAGTAAGCTCAATGAAACACTGTGGAGGTGCAGCTGAGGAAGCAGCTTGGGGACGACCCCCTGTGAATACGGACACCCAAAACCAGTAGCTGTCATAAGATGCTGTGTCCCCAGTAGGAGAAACGCCTGGTCTGGGAGCAAGGGAGGCAGACAGGCCGGCTCACATCAGTGACCCACTGTGCAGGGAGCCCCGCTGCCCCCGACTTGCCCCACACCGACCACAGGAGGCCGGGGAGCTGCTGGGGGGTGTGGGTGGCACTGGGGAGAGCTGGCCCAGGGGCAAAGTCTGTGGGCAGGGGCTGCAGGAGGCGGGCAGGGCACGCAGAAGGCGGCCATCGTTCCTCCTGACATGGAGAAGAAAAGGCAAGGGTGGGTGAGGGTGGGGCCCAACACGGAGGGGCCCTGAGCTCCCCAGGGAGCTGTCACTAGAGCCCCCGCCCCCCAGAGTTCTCAGTGCTCGGAGAAGCCTCCGCAGGACAGTAGCACTGGGCGCCACATCTGGGTTAGCACACTAAAGGCTCTGAGAAGTCCTGCAGGAAGAAGTAGCTTAGTGTCCTCTGACCCATCCACGCCTCTCTGTGTCTCCGGAAATGCCATTGTGGGATACGGGAGGTTGGCCCAGATGTGCGACTCCCTAATTTGACCCTTTGGAGAGGGTCCTGGACTGGGGCTGGGGGAGGAAAGATAGTGATGGGGGGCGGGTTGTGCAGAAACCAGAGGCGGCTTGGAGACAGGGAGTGGAGAACAGCAGAAGCCTGGAGGTGGCCACGTGTTCTAAAAGGCAGGTTTTCTTGTTCAGGTGTGATGAGGCCAACAGCTCAGGGCAGGGCTGAAACGACAGTCAGTGATACTCAAAGATCCAAGAGGAGGGGCACGCCACGCTGCAGGGACCACTCAGGGACCACTCGGGGAAGCAACGGGGTAGGGTGGGAGGCGGGCGAGGGGAGGTTCCTGCGGGAAGGGCAGGCAGAGGCAGCGGGCCTCCAGGCGTTGGGGCTGCCCCTAGTCTGGTACCCGGCCCTGGGGTGCACCCACAGGCAAGCCTTTTACTATCTCTAGGAACCCTCTAACCTGGGAGGGGCTGGCCCAGCCCAGCTATCTAAGCCTCAGAGACAAGAAAGCAAAGGACACAGTCAACACACACGGCTGCCCCCGGGCCTCAGTTTCCCCATCCACAGAGGGAGGCCTTGGCCTGGGCGGCCCTCCTAGGTCTAGCTCAGCACTCTCAGCCCCCTGGGCCTCCACAAATTCTGGTCCCAACCCTCTGGAGGCAGGGAGGCAGCCAGGCCAAGGCCCAGTGCCACCCCCTCGGTGCCCCTGCAGAGGAGCAGGCCCAGGGCTGGCTCAGCCCCCAAAATGACGACAGTCCCCACAAAAGGCACAGGAGGCTCTGGGTGGGAGTAATAGAGGGTTGTTTGCCAAGAGGAGGACAGGGGGTAATCGAGTCAAAGCTCGACCTGCCAACGCCCCGGAGAACAACGCTGACACTCCGAGTGCCGACACGGGGCGGTGATCGGGAGCTCGGATCCTGCCAGCACCCCGCGGGACTGTGGCTGCTGATTCATGCTGAAGGTCACACAGCCCAGAACACTCCTGGAAATAAACTCGCTTTCATAAACACAGGAACATCCTGAGAAGGCAGTCAAACAAGGCTGGGAGACAAATCGCACGCCCCAGGGCTGGGGGCGCACCTGAGGGGTACTTGGCCCCCCGCCCGTCAGACAGCAGCCCCAGCGCCCACTCCCCTCCCCATCATGGCCGCCGGGCCTGCCTGTGGCAAGGAGGGCAACGCAGACTGCTAACTTTGTTTGGCCAGTGGCCAAGGGTCAGGGCTGAGGTCAGCACTGGCTCCCCAGCGCTGTCGAGAGGGCATGCAGGGGACAGCAGGTGGCACAAGAGGAAGGAGAATCTGTGGGGCTTCCCTGCGTCTGGCCAGAGGGGTGGCATCAGCACCCCTGCGGGTCCAGGAGGGCCCAGGGAACAGTGACTAACTGGCCATCCTCTCCAGGCTTCTCCCCTGAGCCAGCAAGACTGCGGCATGACTGAGCCACCCCGTGCCTGTCCTGAGTCTTCTCTTCCACCTGTACACCTGACAGGGTGACACCGTGAGCATCTTCATCTGCAGATGGGAAGGCAGAGGCTCAGAGAGGCAAAGTGACCTGCCCCAGACCACAAAGTCACAGCCAGGAGGGGCTCAGACTCCACGTCCAGCCCCTTCCCACTTAGACATGGCCTGCATCACGCAAGTACAAGGGTGATTCCTCTGTGCAGGGTGACAGTGGTGGGCGGGGGTCCTGCAGCTGCAGAAGGCCCCAGCCAGCAGCCCCTGGAGGGAGTTCCTGTGAGTTATTCTGACTCCGGAACGAGCGACAACAGGAGCTCCAGACCCCAGCACCTGCAAGCAATGTCTGTTTATTGATAGAAAACAGGCCAAGTACAGAGAGGCCCACGGCTGAAGCATCCTTCTCAAAGGCAGAAGGTGGGGTCAGCTGGGCTCTGTCTTGCCAGAGTGGGTGGCATCCTGGTCCTCATCCCCTTCTGGAGCAGCAGTGGATTTGGGGGCCCCTGCAGCCTCTAACACCAGCTCCAGGGCCCCCTCACTGGCCACTCGGCAAACCTTCTCCCCTCTGGCAGCCAGGATTTCTTCAATATTCCTGAGAGAGAGGGAGGCACCGTGACACTCCGGGCCCCAAGCCTGTCTTGCACCTTGGTCCCTCGAGAGCATCCCAAGGCCAGACTGGAGTCAAGAGCATGGGTCACTGCACTGGCGTGGCATCAGGGCCACTTCATGCTGACCCTGTGGAACCTTCTCCACAGCTCCCAGAGGCAGCTGCTATGACCGTCCCACTCTCAGGGAGAACTCTCAGGGAGCTGCCCAGGGCCACCCAGCCAGGAGGCTCCTGACCACCACCCTGCTCTGCTCTCCATGAGGGTGAGGCTGACCCTGAAGGCCCAGGGTCACCCCATCCCGAAGGCTGGTATGGTCAACCAGGCATCAGCAGAGGACGAGAAAGTGACACACTGGGATCCCTGCCCTGTAGCAGGCACTGGAGAAATCCTTGTAGGGTGAAGGAAGGACCCATAAGATGAGAGGGAGTCATTGCTTTAAGAGTCAATGTGGGGTCCAGCCCATGGCCGAGTGGTTAAGTTCATGCTCCGCTTCGGCAGCCTGGGGTTTTGCTGGTTCTGATCCTGGGCATGGACATGGTGCCGCTCATCAAGCCACACTGAGGCAGCATCCCACATGCCACAACTAGAAGGACCCATAACTAAAACATACAACTATGTACCAGGGGGGCTTTGGGGAGAAAAAGGAAAAATAAAATCTTTAAAAAAAAAAAAAAAGTCAATCTGGTCTGATCCCCTCACTTTAGGGGAGGCCCAAGGCCCTGATATGTATCGGGGCTGCCTGCCCTGAAGGATGTCAGTGAGGGTGGAGGTCAGGCAGTGGAGCAGGGCCAAAGGGCAGAGGACTTGGCAGATAAAAACATGCTTGGGCATCCTTACACCAAGAAGTTATCTGTGGTGTATCTGAAATCGAAATGTGAATGCCCTCCTGTACTGTTAAAGGTGGAGGGATGGATTCTGCAAACCTCATCAGGAAGGGTGCCCAAGGGAGGCTGCATGAGGCCTCTGACCCAAGAACCACCAGGCCAGCCCTGCCACACAGGCCCCCATGCCCGACCCCACCCAAGTGGCCTCACCTCTTCCCATCCAGATCGGAGAACCAGCCCAGGTTGTCGGCGATGATGTGGTGGTTCTGGCAGCCAGGGCAGGTCACAATGACCACACCCTGGTGATAGGCTAACTTGGAGATGCGCTTGGAGGACCGAGTCCCACAGACCTGGCAGAGAAGCCCCGCAGGTGAGGCGGAGCACCTGGCCCGGCCCCGCCCCCTGGAAAGCCCCGCCCACTCTGAGGACTAGCTCCACCCGAGGACAGGGCCAGCCCTCTCCCTGAAGAGCCTGTCCCCTGAGGGATAAGCCACCCCTCCCCAAGAGCCTCTCCTGCCCCTCGCCTGGAAGAGTCTGCCCCTGAGGGAGAGCCCCACCTCCTGGAGATAGCCCTGCCCGCCAGGAAACAGCTCCATCCCGCTCCGCGAAGGCCCCGCCCCCGAACATAGCCCCGCCCCTGAGGAAACAGCCCCACCCCTCTCAGGGAAGGCCCCGCCCCCAAGGGAATAGACCCACCCCTTCCAGCAGGCCCCGCCCCAGATGAAATAGCCCCACCCCTCTCCAGGGAAGGCCCCCCCCCAGGGAATAGCTCCACCCCCTGATGGCAGGCCCCACCCCGGGGAAATAGCCCCACCCCTCTGCCAGAAGGTCCCGCTTCCTGGAAATAGCCCCCGCTCCCGGGGATACCCCCTGCCCCTCTCCCGGAAGAACCCGCCTCCTGGTGTAGCCCCGCCTCCTAGGAGATAGCACCACCCATCTCCTGGAAAGCCCCGCCCCCTGCGGGTAGCCCCGCCCCGCGAACAGGCCGCCTCCGCCCGCAGCGCCGTCCAGCGCCAGGGGCGGGCCCGGCCTCGCCCGCGCCGCGCGCCCACCTTGCAGGTGTAGACGAGCTGGTAGTGCGCCGCCCCGGGCCCCGGATCGGAGCTCCAGCGCCGCCAGTCCCAGCCCCAGGCCCGTCTTCTCCCCGCGGCCTCCGGGCGGGCCCCGCGCCCCCACAGCCGCCTCAGGTCCGGCCCCCGGGGCCGCGCGTGGCTCCACAGCGTCGGCACGAGGCGCAGCGCCGCCCGCAGCATCCCGCCCGCCGGCGCCTGCCGCCCCGCCCCTCGCCCCGCCCCTCGCCCCGCCCCCGCCGCCGAGGCCGCGGCGCCGCCATCTTGGACGCGGGCACGCGGCGGAAGCGGCTCTCCTCGGCTTCCGGCGCCGGCGGGCCGGCCGCGCTCTGCTGCCCCTGGCGGCGGGCGGTGCGGGCGGTGCGCTGGGGCTGCGGGCGGGGATGGAAGGAGCGCGCTGGAGGAGGCCGTCGGAGGCGGCGGTGCCGGGACCGACCGCGGTCGTTTATTACAGAGCTGTATTGCTAACACGCGGCGAGGGCTGCAGTACAGAGGGATAGAGCGCGCCGGGCAGAGTACGGGGCGGGGCGGGGCGGCGCGCCCCCACGGGCCGGCTAGGAGCCCTCGGTGTCCGTGTTGTCGCTGCCCGTGGTGTTCTCCCAGTCCACCTCCCCCTGTCTCCAGCCGTGCTGCATCTTCCTGAGCGCGCGCTTCCTGCGGAGACGCCGACGCCGCGGTGTGTGCGGGTGTCCGCGGGTTTGGGGGGCTGTGACCCCTCATCCCCTCCCGGCCGGCCTCTCCCCACCGGGCCCCGCATCTGCCCGGGCTGCCCGCCGCCTGCTGCCCACCTGCGGTAGTTCTCGAAGCTCTCCTTGAGGCGCCGCCGCTCCTTCTCCGGGGGCTCTCCGCCGCTCCTGCCCGCGTCCTGGGGAGGGCGAGGCTCAGGCTCCGGCCAGGGCGGAAGAGCCCACCCCCACCCCTGGGGCTGCAAACGGGGGGGTCAGGCCGGGAGCCCACCGCCCCGGCTCAGCTCAGCACGCAGACGAGCTCGCCATCGGCGTCCTGCGTGCACCGAGGGGAGCGGTTGGGTCCCGCCTTCCGGATGACAAGACAGGCCCAGGACGCCTGGGACTGGGCTCCCGGCCAAAGTTCCTGCTACTACAGCGCCGAGGCCGCCCCTTTGCAGTCGGGACTCCCAAGCAGTGGACAGCAAGACAGGCTTCCATGGCTGCCTCACCCCCTGCCCTTGCAGGGCCTTTGCCGGCTGCTTTGTCCAGGAAGGGAGGGGCTCACCTTGGTCTTCCAAACACTGCTCCTCAAGAGCCGGTGGGTCAAGACCCTTGTGATCACCCCCAGGCATCCAGGTGTAGGAGTCAGTCTCCCTGTGATCAGGGCACCCCAGGGCAGCCTTACCTTGGGGGTCAGTGAAAGCCGCTCCTTTTGCAGGGCTGCAAAGGGCTCCTCTGGGCTCTCCCGGTCTGCCGGGCCACCTGGAAAGGAGAGTTGTGCCTGTGGGTCTTGCCCAGCTGCGGGGACCACGCTCAGCACCTGGTGGCCGACCCACTCACCTCTTCACCCCTGACCTTGCCAGGCCAGTCCTGCACCATCTCCCAGGTCCTCACTTGGACCCTACGTTGTATAGACAAGGGGACTAGGGCTCAGGGACGTCACTTCCCACTCCTCGCTCCCAGGGGAGGCCCTCTGGGGCAGGCAGCAGGTCCCTTTGCTCCCACCATCAACCTCCCCTCCTGAGCACACAGCTCGGCCTCTCCTAGGTGGGGGCTGGGGCGCTCCAGCAGTTGGGAGCAGAACATTCCAGACTGCTGGGCCCCCTCAGAATTTGTCAGGGCCTGGACGGGCCCAGGGCGCGGGACCCTTGGGCAGAGGTGCTCTGATGGGCTGGCTCCCCTAAACTGTCCATGAGGGGGTCTATGGACATTGTGGCGGGAGAGGCCAGGCCCAGGGCTCTTCCTGAAGCTGATGCCTTCCCTTCTCCTCGGCCTCCGGCCCTGAAGCCTACCCGGCTCCTGCGGGGCCACTGCAGCCATGCTAACCTGACCCTCGGGGGGCTCTGCTAACCTGACCGTCGGGGTGCTCAGCAGCCTGGAGTCTCTGGATTTCTCCATCTGCTGCCTCTGCTTCCTCTTTTGCCCCCCTTTAGAAGCTTGGGTCAGGTCTGACTCTGAGGAAGTCTGTCTGGCTTCCCACGCAGCCTCTGCGGTGGGCCCCCCACGCCCAGCAGAGGGTCTTCAGGACTTCCTGCCTGACGCCTGCCTTCAGAGCAGCCCCTGACCCTTGTCGCCCCCTTGGGGTCATCTCCTGGCCGCCCTGCCCACCCCAGCCCCATCCCCAGGCAGGCAGAGGGGTCTTGTCCTGCCACGCGAAGCCTGCGCGCCCCGTGCCCCTGAAGCTGTGCCTCCTTCCCATTGTGCTCGCACTCCCTAGCCTGGCACACCTGGGCATTGGCCGACTGCCTCTTCCCCTGCTCCCTGCTCCCTGCTGTCTACCCCCGAGGAAGCTTGGGGAGGGCAGAATGCCTCAACTCTGCGTTCCTGGGGCCCAGGGTGGTTTCTGATGAGGGGACGTGTTCTCAAGGTCAGAGCTGGGTCACTGACCCTGCACTCTTGGGCCCTGGGTTCAAGTGGAGCTTTCACTTGCTCACTAGGGGGACTTTGGGGGGTTTCTTATCACTCTGAGCCTCAGTATCCCCCTCTGTAAAGTGGGGTTGTGCGGGTCAGTGGCACAGGGCTGGGGCACACATCACCAGGCACGAGCCACACGGCTGTGTGCGCCAAGGGTCAGCACTACTACCAGCGTGGGGCGACAAGGAGGCCCGGCCAGATTCCTCCGTGACAGGCCGCTCCCCTCCTCACCTTTGTCCGAGAGCTGGGCGTCCTCCTCCAGATCCCGGGGCAGCGAGAGCTTCCAAAGAGAGCGAGGGCACCGGTTAGCTCACCACCCCTCCCGGGATGGGACCGAACCAGCTGTGCGCCCACCCCTGCTGCGCATCCGTGGCTGGAGATTCACGGGAAACTCTGCTGCCCAACCCGGCCAGAGGCCCGACAAAAAGGCTCCCGCCACCAGGGTGTGTCTTGCCCTGAGCACCCGGAGGCCTCGGCTGCGCCAGCTGCCCTCTCCTCTGTCTGGCGGAGCGTTGGGAAGAGGAGGGACGGCCCAGCTACCAGCTCACCAGAGCCGGCAGCAGGTGGCCGAGCTTCTGGTACTTTCAAGGGACATGTGTGGGGTTATGGTCTAACAGATGCTGCAGCTGGGCCCTCTGGGTGAGGCCAGCCCTGTGCCCACCCCAGGGGGCACACTCACCTCCTGGGAGTTCCTGGGTGAGCTGTCCTCTAGGTCGGAGCTCTGTGGTCACAGAAGAGGAGTTGGTCAACAGGCTGTGGGGCAACCAAGCTGCCCCCAGGCATGGGGTGGGGCGGGGCATGGGGGGCCACGGTGCCGGGTCCTCCAGGGAGGCCCCTCTCCAGACCACGGCTGGTCGTGGTCCCTGCCCAGAAGCCCCCTCATTCCCATTCAGCACACCCAGAGCACCTGCCAGGCTGATTCTGCCACACTCTGCGCCCCCCACCAGGAGGGGTCCGTCAGGAGGAGCCAGCCTTTCAGAGGAGGGAGGGGCTCAAGAGGGTCTGGGGACCTGCCAGGGCCACCAGCAGAGCTGTGGCCGAACCAGGCCAAGACTGGGGCTATCCGTGGCCCCTCCTCTGGGCTTTGGGGTCTCGGGACACATCTACTCCCGAGTGGCCACACCCTCACATCCCACAGCAGCAGGGCCGTGGCTCTGACCGATTGACACCACAGAGGTCCCCAGCCCCCAGGGAGGCCCACCAGGACGAGCATCTCCAGCTGCTGCCGCTTGAGCCTGCCCTCCGCGGCCAGCAGCTGGCCCTCGCACTGGAACAGCTGCAGCTGCAGCTCGTCGGCCTTCTCGCCCAGCTCCCGCACCCGCTTCCGCAGCCCGTCCTTCTCCTGCAGGCTCCGGGCGTGCTGCGTGTGCAGCTCCTCCCGCGTCGTGATGGCCTGTGGGGACAGCGCAGGGCAGGCGTGGCCGGGCACCTGGGCGGCCCTCAGTGGGGATCCCTGCAGAGCGCACCCCAGCACTTTCATTTCTCCCTTCAGGCTCTCACTTCTCAGGACGGCCCACCCGACTTCTAGCAACAGTCCCAGCAGGACTTCCAGCAACCAGCCGGCCAGCGCTGGCCTCTTCCTCTTTCCTCTCCAGGGGCATAAATGTTTGGGGGACTGTGAACATTTAACACTCATGATGGGAAGTGTAGATAGTTCGGAGAATATGAAGAAAACGAGGATGTCCCCAATTGACCCTCAGAGTCATCCCTACTGACCCGGTGTCCTTTCTTCCACCCCCGTGTGGACACTCAGCACATGCTTACACCCCCACATGTGGGTTTTATAAATATGGGGTGTGGCTTGACATCAAGAACACGACTGTTGACGGCTGTGTAATATTATTTAAAATGATGGGGCTGGCCTGGTGGCGCAGTGGTTAAGTGCGCATGTTCTGCTTTGGCTGCCCAGGGTTCGCCGGTTCAGATCCTAGGTACAGACATGGCACCACTTGGCAAGCCATGCTGTGGTAGGCATCCCGCATATAAAGTAGAAGATGGGCACAGATGTTAGCTCAGGGCTAATCTTCCTCAAAAAAAAAAATAAAATAAAAATAAAATAAAACGAATGCACGGCTGCTTCTCATGCCCACCCCCTGGGGACAGAGAGATGTGAGAGACTGAACACACACGGCCAGGCCACGAGTAAGGACAGGACTCGGACCTGCACCCTGCCGCAGCCAGCCAGGAGGCTAGCCTGTTACCTACGGTGACCGGCCTGGGAGGCAGCGGCTGTCAGACATGCAAGCAGCCGGCTGCTGTCTCTAAAACAACCCAGGAAGCTAGACCAGCGGCCCCAAACAGCCAGGCCTGTCCCTGCCTCCGGCTCAGGACCAACATGAGAAATCCTAGCACTCCAGCTGTTCCCCGCTCCCCCGCTGCAGCCTCCAGGGCCACCTTGGCCTGCCTTGCTGACTAAGGCTCCACACTGCTCTGCCTGCCCTGCTCACAGGTGCTTCTCCAGGCCTCCCTATGGTCCTCAGCCCGAGATTGGCGCCCACGCCCCTGGCTTTCTCTGCGTTACTGTTGTTCCCCTGAAGAGGTTTCCGGAAGTGGAACTGCTGGGTTAAAAGGAATCTCTGTTTTAAGGCTCCTGATAGGTCGCTAATTACCCTGCAGGATGTGGCTGAT